GCCCACTACCCAAACAGTGCACCATACTCCGCAGGATGGCCCAGTACTTCACATAGCGGCTTGATATCTCCTCCAGAGTCGCGGAGGACGTCGAATGACAAAGCGCATCCGCATCCGCTGCAGACCAGCACTCATCGACAATCTTTGCCATCGATACAGGAAGCTCTGAGCAGCACTTCTACCAAGCCTGGTCCTTATGCTTCCCCTGTATCCGCCTCTGCACCACCATCGCATCCGCAAAATGCCTATGCACAATCGCAAGTGCTGCCACCACCACGAACACATGAGCAGGGCGGAGGATTTCAGTCATCTCAATCGCGGCAACCTTCACCTCCGATGCCTATTCAACCACCGCCTTTCTCACGCCCAGATTTAGATTCAAGGAGCTTCGCGGAGCCGAGGAGACCATCGTTGTTACATCCTTCTATTCCACAACCTCCACCTGCAAATTCATACGCACCGCCTAGATATGAGGCTCCTAGGTATGAACAAGAGCCAAGAGCCAGTGAAAGATTTGTTGAGAGGTCAATGAATGACTATGGCCAACCATCTCCTTTACACAATCAACATCCATATGGAAACGCTCCAGCGCAACCGGTCCACCCTTCTCATCCTCCACCCCATGCGCAAGGTTATCCTCAACCACCTTATCCACCACGGGATGAAAGAGATTTAGGCGGTGCCGGGTTTAAGAATTATAAGACCCAACCCGAGCCATTCAATCAGGGCTTAAAGCGACAGCTTGAGGTGTGGGACGTTGATAATAATTTAGCTCAAGTTTGTCATCCGCTCTTTTCATTTTTAGTCCAATTCGCTAACTAATCAACCAAAGATCAACGTTTCTAGCACTACTTTACAGGATTGGTCACGTCATTTCCACGCAATAAGTCAAGAACAACCACGCTCTCACATTGCAATACCGGAAAGATCACCCGACCGCAGGGCCATTGAAGAGATGCTGGTTCACGGTAATCGAGTTGTATCTTGTCTCCACCGCATGTTGGATACTGCTGTGCAGCAGCAGCATGCAGCCGACGAGCAATCTCGCGGTGCCAGATTGGCTACTGATTACGATGATGAGAGCATCTATGGCGATGATAGACACCATCAAAATTTTGGTGGACCGGATAATAAAAAACGTCGAGGAGTACGTATTCACTCGATTTGCCCTGTACAAAAGTTTCTAATAATTGAATAGCGCGCCGCCCCACCAGGCAGATGTCACAGCTGTAACAGAGCGGAGACTCCCGAATGGAGAAGAGGACCAGATGGAGCCCGTACGCTTTGCAACGCATGTGGGTTACATTATGCGAAACTCACCCGCAAAAACACGATGAAGCAGTCACAAGGTTCAACCGGATCATCACTTCGACCCAAATCTTCGGAGGATCATTCACCACGATCATAACCTTTTCAGCAGTACCTACTGAAGTGAAAGATATGCCACCAAAGCATAAATCTAATGTATAAAGTATTCAGCGTTACAGAGCATGAAGATCTTTAGCGATCGTCATCATGGAGTTACGGAGAGTTTTGATTGGAGGATCACGGGAATAGGAAAAGTCGCATAATTACACGTCTTTCAGGGCGGAGAGAACACATATTGGTTTTGTTCGAGGGTCACGCATACCAGGGGCATTTTGGCATTTTGGTACTCACGTTCAAAGAAAGGCTTTTATTTAGTTTTGGTAGCAGAAGCATATGGAAATCTTGCTTCCAGGCGTTTTGGTTTGATTTTGATAGCTACGGCTATGGGTACAACAACGAGTTTTGAGACTCTGGTTTGGCATCCGCATAAGATGGCGTTTTTTTATATTCCCACTTACCAGATGTGGATTTTTGTGTAGCGCTGAAACATGTGGATATCTCGGATCGTGGGATCTGAATTTGGGCTGGGATATCATTTTATACCATTTTATACCATTTTTTTTTTTACCTATTGCTTGTCTTTTCTACAATACATGATTTTGGGCACCTGGTTTCTGGAAGACACGCACATTCTGTTATTGGATTTCTTTTCAGGGGAATCATCATCATGTGGATACCTAGGTACATTCATTAAGATCGAGCTGGGCTTACGGTGGAGGCGGGAACGAAGTCAAGTAAGGATATACATTGTGGAATAGGCTGGGTTGGCTTGGATACTTCAAGAATTGTGAGATTCGGTAGCAGGGGGGGAGGATCCCAATCCAGCAAAAAGGCATGCATCTCAGCGGACGTTGTTCGGAGGCACAACGTAGAAGTGGCTGGATAGAAGGGAACGGAAGGGACGGCTGATCTTGCATCTGAATCTGATCTGATCTAACTCTGATCCTAAGCTCTTATTTTGCTTGTCAGATGAATGGTCCACGGATCGTAGATGGTCTTAGTGGTGTACAAATACTTTTAGACCTAGTTACAATGAAATAGGCTGGGATAAATCAGTAGATAGTATTGGCCAGAGCAAGATAAGACGGCAATGAAAGAAATTAAAACAATGTCTACAAATCTTCCGCTGCCTCATCCATTTTTGTGTATGCACTATGCGCTGTGCGCTGTATTGTGCTGTATCGTGTTGTATTGTGAGTTTTATTTGAAGTTTTTGTGTATGGGAAGGTAAGGTGGGTATCTGTTTGGTGGTGATTATACTCACTGACCTCGATCGTCAGCATATGTGAGACAGGGCCACAGATCGATCCTTTTGAGGCGTTGGGGGATGTGCGCATCGTGAATACAAAATTGGAGCCAAACTCGGGGGACAGGACCAAAGCGGCGGGACCTAGTTCCTTTGACACTGGCGCACAGCCAATTTCGCCGACTGGGATAGGTGTGCAAGCTTGCTTGTTCAGAAGACTATGAACATGTGAAGCTAAGAAGCTAGGATGGTTGTGATGGTTGTGATGGTATAGGCGATGATCACGTGTGGGTGAGGGGGGTGGAGATCGAGAATTTGAGCGCGCAGGGTATGGCAGGGGGTGAGACAAACTTTACAGAATGTGCTCCGTACGGAGAGCTAATGCTATGTTGTAGGTACCGTATATGGTTGTTACCTGCATGCGCTACGATGGTCGGTTTCTGCAGTTTTTCTAGGGGAAATGAAGATGGTCGTGTACATGTTGATTGCAAATTGGGCTTAGATACTACTTCACTTCACTCACTAAGCTGTACGGTATCGTGGGAATGTATCACTACGATAGTGGTAGGGAGCTAGAGCGCAGTGTAGTGATACCTAGATATCTGCAAGCTTTTTGAGATGCATTGCAATTACTTGGCTGTCAGAGAAATGCTATTTGCGTGCAAGTAGATATCTGAATTCCCTGATTTATGGGCACAATTGGTAGAAATGATCGCAGTAGAACATGTGTACTAGATAGCATCATCGTGCAGGTTCTTGATTGTCAGATGCTGTGTGTGCACGAATGAATACGTATCGGTGGACTTATAGATCTCTGAATTGACGTTCGAAGTCTAAGACCACTTGGATATACAAGCATGATTAGCCAGTTGAGATTAGAACATTCTAACTGAGACCAGTCTTTTTCAAGGAGTCATAATTCAGTGTTACTTGAGTGACATTCCCATATTAAAACGAGAAGGCTTTATAAGTATATTGTTGACATGCGTACACGGCATCGTGTGAGGCATACCATCATGACGATAGTATGCTTGATATGTACACAAGTTGAATACCGATGCACATGCAGTTTTAGCTGTGCGTGTAAAGTTGGGTTTCAAGGATATCGGTATATACATTGGTAAATATGCGCATATCCGGATGATGGGCTGCAGAAACGGAGAGGCGATAAAGCTTTACTTTCTGATGTATGTAATGGGATCGATCGGATCGGAGAAGAAGATTCTGTGCGAGGGATGTGCTGTGGTTTTAATGTTGTGAAATGATCTAGTACGGTACAGAAAAATAGGTGAGGGGTAGAATGGTAATCGCTAATAGGAAATTATGTAGTGAAGGGCGATATTGGCTTGTGATGAAGGAGGGCCATAAAATTAAAGAAGTTTGGGCCTTGTATTCGCAATTGATTCATCTGGATAAAATAGGAAATAATCAAAGCTAGTGGACAGGAAAGGTTCCATGAAAATGTGTACATTAATAATAATTCCTTCGCACTTGACACCCAAGTAATTACCAATCAAAACCTTTTCACGGAACTCTTATCAAATCCAAGTGCGATAAACATCAAACAAAAAGAGTTTAGGGTCTCGGATATGAAGGTACACAGCATACATCGTACCTGGGCATATCTACCTGGATAAGCCACACTTAGCGAAGCTATGTAAACTATACCTGAGACTACACACACACTCGCGTATTATACCTGTACTCTTGCATATGCTTTGTAACTTCAGGAAATTAAACGTGATTCTGTAGGCTCCCTAAGTGCAGGTGCAGATGAACACGAGGTTTATCGTATGTAAAGAGACGGTTAGGTGCGAAGCCGGCAATCTGCATCAGGTGGGAACACGTGTCGGTGGAATTTGCGGAGATTTCGGAAGACTTTGAGATCGGGGATCTGAGTTCGTGCCACTTAGCGTTGTACAGAGATACGGTATTTTTGCTGGGGTGATGACTTGATAGGATTAAACTGAGTAATCAACATACTCGTGATCTACTTTGATAGATGTAGTAGATTTTTCTCGGAGATCCGGAATTTGCACTAAATCGTTGATAGATTCTCCGGGTGCATAAATCTAGCGGTTGCATTGAAGCCAATATGTAGGTCGATCCGAATGTATTTCCCGCAGAAGATCAGAGTAGCTGACAGAAACATTCTGGCGTGACGTCAAATCCTTTTCTGGTCATGGATCTTCGACTCTAACAATTCCATGCTTCATGGTAGTATACAGTGTATCTGGACAGTACAACTTGATCTTTCCAAGTGTTAGTATGATATCTGGTAATTAAAGTCAGGTTGCATATTTTTAGACAATCTTCTTGATTCAGTTGTCTCCGGCTCTTCTATTTCCTCGAATACTCCCAATCTCGAAATTGTGTAGATTTACTTTTAGATCGTACTAGATCTACATGTAGTACCGGTGCTACTTTGGAGTTTCCTTCGCCTAAAGTTGATTGACTCTTCGTGTCTTAGATCGTTTGTCTCGGATCTAAGACTTCGACGTGAGTGATTGTTGTCCCCATTGTTGAGCCAGTAAGAATCTAATATATCATAGTAATATGTATCTTGGATCTACCCTTTGAACTGGCTTCAAGGGCAGTGACATCTAGCAACCCAAGAGCACTCTTCGCATATTATAGGGGAAGAATATCAACGGTATCTCTCGCTGCCCATGTTCGATTGGCATGGGTAGCTTTGGCAATAAGTTTGGATTGACTTAGCATTACTTAAAATTAATGATGCTGCCTTCCGAGACCTTATCTCCGCCTCATCTTGGTACTTACTTGCGGCTGTTTGTACACTATAAAACAATCCAATCTTCAAGGTATCGAGATCATTTAGATGTAAATTTCTAAGGGAATAGTTTGACGGGAGAGTACATCCAAGATTCATAGTATTTAAGTGAATATTTTCTAACACGATTGATATATCGCAATGTGCTGAAAATGAATAGCCTGGATAGCGTCGATCATCTGGCTCATCTTTAGCAACAGAGTTGTCGATACACTAAATCTCACCAGGCTGGTAGCTTCCGTGCATACTAGATGCTGTCAAACACCTGGGCTGTGGGTATCTGAGACATCTTTTGATGCTTTTCTGAGCCTGAATTACCAAAAGCCAGATGGAAAGAAGAGTGACGATTTCGGGACTACGAAGTTATTATTAAATGCATAAAACGAACTGTTTTAATCACTTAAGATTTTAAACATGGATCGAGAAACTACTCATACATGAAATGAATCATACTGAATTTTCCCTGAATTTACAGGAACTTTAGGTACCGCGGATTAAATGCAAGATCGGTACCAGAGAATGGAACTTTGGCACAGTGAGCGCCGCAGTTCTATGGGGAAATCAATTCACACTACGTGTTTTAAAGCTTCTCCCACGAACATACGCCAGGGCCAGTGATTAAAGCCTGTTAACGAACTTTATGGGAGAGACAACTTTCAGATGTTACTAGCAATGCCTGTGGCGATTGGCGAAGAGCGGCGTGAGTTGCGCGCCAGTGTATAGGAGCATATGAGCTGAGATTCCCGCGTGTGTGGGCAACGCAGTCGCGCCTTACAAATATGTACTCATTGTACTAGAACAATCAAGTTGGTAAAGATTGCACGAGCGACAATGCTGCAAGTGGTTATTTCAAGCTGGAAAGAAAGTCGACGTTTGAATGTCGATCACACCAAAAGATGAGATGGATATTCGCGGGGCTCAGTGTTTCAGATCATTGACTAACGAATTGATGAACCATGAGAATCTGGCATATGAATTTTGGTTCCTGAATATCTGCAATTTCCTCGCATGTATCGATTCTGCTAGGATTTCCCAAGGTGGTTCTCACATGCCATACTTGGCATGAACTGCCTTTTGAGGCTGATGGGATATCTGTGAAAAGAATCAGGATTTATCCCTAACTTTTCTTTTTTCAGAAAAACCATATATGCCGTGCTGTACACTCTAAAGGTTGTTCAGGCGTGATATCATGGGGCAAAACTCTGCTCTACAGCCTAAGCACTTGCCTGGGAGATACAACAATCATAAAATCAAACGTAGCTCCCGTCGTTCAACCCATGGTATAAAGCGGAGTCACCAGCATTTTACATCTTCGGTTGACAGGCATAGACGGAACCAAGCCTGAATCTCAAAGAAACATCCGATAATCTATATCGTACCATCATCACAATGATGCGGTGGCGAATTTGAAAGGCCCAGAGCCGATAATTAGCTATTCCTTGATAGCTACAAGCGGAGTGATCACCTGTAGAGCTCGTACTGCAGGAATCTCGATTTGAGCTTGAACGTCTCAGAAAAACCTCTATACCATTTCATATTGGCTGAAGAGGAAATCGCAATCTTGAGTATAGTGGTTGAGAGTCGAATCCCAAGAGCATTTCGCCGCCGTCCTAGTTCCTACTGAGTCGAGACGTAAATGACAACGTAGGTGACAAAGTGATATAAGTATCTAGTATTGGATGGCATTCAGAAGGGATTCGACGGTACCGTAACAAGAAGCGTACGATGTATCCAATTCTTGTGGTAATGGCACCTGCGACCAATTGAATTCAATCTTCACTTGATTTGAAGCATCAGCCACACCAGCCACAAGAGGCTCACGCCACCTAACCTTATCCACGCTGCTGCAGCGCATCTGCCCAGACTTCGAGACCGACACCCCACTGTACCATCACAATTAGTAAACAGCCTTACAAATACATCGTACGCTAAATTGGTCTCCCGTTGAGGCTGTCGAGTTTTTCTTTGGAAATCTGTTGGAAGCATCAATGAGGAGAAAGAAGCCATTGAATACCTTCTCTTAAGGGCAAAGTTCGAGTCCGATATTGTAAATCTTACAACTGATAAGGATTGAGGGGATCATGAAGCTGTGATAACGCCGTACAAAGTGGGGGCATCGAGTCCTGGATATAAGGATATAAGGAATATCGCAACGCATTGGCAATCAATTGCGAATTTTCTACTATCCTGACAAACTTTCCGTGTGTCAATCGAGTCTTGAGATATGGGTCTTCTGTAAGTATTTACGGCACAACACTCAACATTCAATTAATGCTAATATGTGTTGTAAGTGCATTAGGAACACCACTCGAGTGGCCGGAAGCCAAACAGAATGCACAAATAGTCAGGGAATGGGGCATACAGGTACGACTCGAGAGGCTGGTTACATGAAGAAATACTTTGCTCATAAGATTCAATATAGCAACTACTAGCGATATGGAACCGAGCGAAAGGGAAGGAGCGAGATGCCCTACTATGGGGTGACGAGGTCAGCAGATACTCATTCATGGATGGAAGATGGTCGCTAAAACATTTTCAGGTCGAATATTTGGTTGTGAACTACAAGGATGATGATGAGAAAGTAACCTTGTCCTTGAGACAGGCAGATATCCTGACCGCGTTAGCCCAAGATGAGGAATTGCGTACGAATGGAGGATGCGTACCAGCATTACAAGACGTCACTAATACCAAGTGGGTCTATTCGATTAAGTTGAGGGAAAACGCTAACAATCCCAAGGGGTAGCGCATTACCGGTTTTCCATCCTGAATTCGGACGGTTTATGCTTGAAGCTACACCTGGGAGACCTTGGGGGATTGGGTTCAAGGACTTATTAGACGTCGAACCTAACATGAAGTGGAGGTGTGTTATACAAACTTGAAAGCGAGTTCATGGAGCTGATGTTGTGAAGGCGTAAGCTTGCTAAAGAGCACATGAATGCTGAAGAGTATCCAATTACTTTGACGACCTATCCTCGATTAGGATCACCCGGCGTATTCACGTCCCCTTTCTTCCCACCTTCTGGAGAGAAATTACGGTCACAATTTGTTCCTGATGAGATTGCTAATCCACACATTCGATTTCCTACTTTGGCAGCCAACATTCGTGCAAGAAGAGGCCAGAAAGTTCAGGTAAACGTACCAGTATTCAGAGATGAGAACACTTCATGGCCTTGGAAGGATCCGACTGTCAATTACGACATGCACAATTGGCCAGAGGACGATGACGTTCGGAATGGTGCTGCTCCTGACAATTTTATTCATATGGACGCAATGGCCTTTGGCATGGGCAGCTGTTGTTTACAAATTACCTTTCAAGCCAAAAATATCACAGAAGGGAGACGAATGTATGATCAATTAAGTCCTCTGGCTCCAATTCTCCTCGCCTTAACTGCAGCAACTCCAATCTACAAAGGCTTCTTAGCCGACACGGATGTTCGATGGAATCAGATCAGTCGGGCTGTAGACGATCGAACTCCAGAAGAGTTAGGAGAGAAGGTTAGTGGAGCTATACTCAATACATACACAACGCTAATTCCTGTAGCCCCTTTTACATGATCGATGGCGCATACCTAAGTCACGCTATGCCTCTAATTCTACGTATATTTCGGAAGATTCGAGGTTACGCAAAGAGTACTTGGACCCAGATCTTGTAACCGATCCCGAAGTCAAACAAGAGCTGATGAATGGAGGCATGGATGACCGATTGGCTACTCACTTTGCCCATCTTTTTATTCGTGATCCGATTGTCATCTTTGCTGAAGATTTGAAAGAACTTGACCTATCCAAGACGGATCATTTTGAGAACCTTCAGTCAACTAATTGGCAACATATGCGTTTTAAGCCGCCGCCAACAGGAAACGACATTGGTTGGAGAGTAGAATTTAGGCCAATGGAAATTCAGATCACTGATTTCGAAAATGCTGCCTTTTCAGTATTCATTGTACTCATCACGCGAGCTATCCTCTCCTTCGACCTCAATTTTTATATACCTATCACTAAAGTAAGTGAAAATATGGAAACGGCACATGCACGAGATGCAGTCTTGGAAGAGAAGTTTTACTTTCGAAAGAATCCATTTCCAACTCGTGCGCCGCGACCATATTCCTCGAATGGTGGGGCGTCTGGTAGAGCATCGGGTACCAACACTCCGCTTAATATTTCAAGGCCACCTACACCATCCGGCCCCGTGGAAGATGAATACGCCCCTATGTCTATCGACGAAATTATGAACGGCAGCAAGAGTGATTCAGAAAATAACTTCCCAGGCTTAATACCATTGGTCGAATCATATCTCGACAGTGTCAATATTGATGTACAGACCAGGTGTGAGCTAGCCTCTTATTTGGATTTGATCAGAAAAAGGGCAGACGGAAGATTGTGGACAGCAGCGAAATGGATAAGAAATTTTGTTGCGGGTCATGAGGATTACAAGAAGGATAGTGTCGTAAACGAAAAGATCAACCATGACCTGATAAAGACAGTCATTGAATTAGGAGAAGAATGCACAAAGGGCGTCCAAAATGTGGAGAAATTTTTGGGCCGGGAGAGATGTGGAGGCTGCTGAAGAAGTAGACAGTATTAAAGCATAAATAGCATTAGAACGATAGTCCTCGGCGAAAGGATATCTGGTCACAATTATTGAGGATGGCCACTGTTAGTCGAAATCTATAGGATTAAATTCATTTCTTACCACACCTAAATGCCTATCCAACACCAACAAAAGCATATCATTTTGAGAATATCGGTTTTCTGTGTTCAATGAGGTATATCTCAAACGTCGAATCGGACTGGGAACCCCCATTCATTTTCTAACACATCTCTTTAGACGAGACACTAACAACAAATATACAACTCGTACGTCTTTTTAAGTTTCTGATACTCAGAATTGATACCCACTAGCTAGCCAGCTACCAACCTACCTGGATTAGTCAGCTGACCATCATGAAGCTTTGGCTGTCTGTATAGGCATTTTCAACATTTCTTATTGAAATTGTGAATGTCGTACAAATGTAAAAAATGACAAATGAAGGTCCATAAATTCCCAAAATGGACAACTATACGCGGAAACAAGAAACCCCGGTCGCAAAAACAAACGCCTCATCCCAACCACAACTCTCTATCTCGCAAGCCCACATCGCTCCTCCACAACTCGTCACTTCCAGTTAGGTTTTTTAGTCTAACTCATCATTTTCGTTCTTCGCCTTGTTTCGTGGACATGGAATACCCTTCAAAACCTGTCACTGACCCGAATACTGGTGGTAGCCTTATCGATGGTCGAAATGGGATTGAAGCGGATCTGATTGCTTTGACGTCTGGGGAAGGACTTAATGAAACTGTAGAGGATTTATGTAGTGATACTTCAGAGTCGAATGTTGAAACTGAGGATGATGATAGCAATGCAGGGGAGAAAGGAGGGAACGTGATAGTAACACCGAGAACATACCAGCTGGAAATGTTGGAAGAAAGTTTGAAAAGGAATGTCATCGTTGCGGTGAGTATGTCTTATAGTATTAATAGTACCTGGTGCTAAGAGTCGTAGATGGATACAGGAAGTGGCAAGACACACGTGTAAGTCTTTTCTTACCTTGGAGTCAAAATTGGAATCGCTTGAGAAGAGATTGAGTTCCAGCTATTGCACTACAGACAAGGTATTTTGAAATCAAGCACTGGTCAACGGTGGTGTCCACATCATGAATCACAACCATGTTTTTCTTCCGAAAGCTTGTTATGACCTGACCATTGGATCATCTAGGGCCGTCCTCCGAATGCTAGCGGAGCTCGAGCGGATGAAGCCCGACAAGGTGAGAAGAAAGTTGTAATCCCTCATTCTGCTCTTGCTGATCTTGTTATTGCAGATGATATGGTTTCTTGCGCCTACCGTTGCGCTTTGTGCTCAGCACCACGAATATCTCCAGCTTAATATTCCCTCGGTTTTGATCAAACTGCTTATTGGTGCTGATGGCGTGGATCGATGGACAGAGCAGAGACAGTGGGATGCGATCTTGAAGGACGTCAAAGTAGTCGTATCTTCCTATCAAGTTCTCTTGGATGCCCTTACACACGGGTTCGTACGTATGGGGCGTCTCTCGTTGATCATTTTTGATGAAGGTGAGTACCATGCACATCACAACTTGCTGAGCGAGACATCTTCTCGAACTCTGCTAAATGGTTACAGCACATAATTGTGTAAATAAAGCACCAGGGGCTAAGATTATGAAATCTTTTTACCATCCGTATAAATCGACATCCCCACTACCTTATATCCTGGGCCTTTCGGCCAGCCCTGTCATGAGATCTAGTCCGCAATCTTTGAGTGATATCGAAGAGACTTTGGATGCCGTTTGCCGCACGCCAAAAATACATCAAGCAGATCTTCGACTTCGAGTAAAGCTGCCACTGCTATCTATAATCCACTACTACCCAGAGCCAAACATCATCATGACGAAGACTGTAGCGAGCCTGAGAAATGTAGTGCAAAGCCTCAACATTTTTGAAGACCCTTACGTTTTGACACTAAAGAGAAGCGACAGCGAAAGAAGTCAACGTGAGCTGGCGAAAGTACTCAAGAGTTTCAAGACATATAGTCAAATTCAATTGAAGTCAATTAACAAAACTAGCAACGAGATTATCCTTGTTGAGCTAGGCCCCTGGGCTGCAGATTACTATATCTCAGCAGTGGTGACGAGATACTTGAAGGCAATGTCGGCAAAAGATACTTTCACTGTTGAAGATTTACAAGCTGCCGAGAAGCTATATATTTCCAAGGCTTTGAGACAAGTCGAAATCTCCCCTTCACTCCTCTCGGGTACAGACAAAATTTCTAACAAGGTTGAAAAGCTACTGGAGATAATTGTGCAACAGAAGCCTCCCTTTTCCGCTATCATATTTGTCCAAGAAAGAGCTACGGTCTCTGTGCTAGCCCAATTATTATCGCATCATCCATTGACAAAAGAACGTTTTAAGATTGGAACCATGGTTGGTACATCCTCACACAGCAATCGTACAGACCAAATAGGAGAGCTTGTAGATATGAAGCAGCAAAAAGACACTTTGTCAAATTTCAAGTGTGGAAAGATTGATATCCTTATAGCTACGAATGTGCTGGAAGAGGGAATTGATGTTCGTGCCTGCAATCTAGTAATATGCTTTAGGTAAGTTTAATGGAAAAACGCTTCACCCCTAGACGCTATATGGAGATGTTTCATCTTTCACGTCCTCTTCATTTTACCATGTAACCTTTGTACCGCATTGTACCCCAAAACATACTCTCATAGGCAATCACTGATACCTTGATGATATAGTAAACCAGCAAACCTCAAATCTTTCATACAAAGACGAGGGCGAGCGAGACAACAAGATTCCAAACTGATTCTTCTTGACGCTTCGGGCGATAAAGTGATAAAATGGCATGAGCTTGAACGAAACATGCGAGAGGAGTACGAAAAGGAAATGCGAGAATTACAGCATATCTACGAAATCGAGGCAGCTGATGAACAGTCGGAAGATGCCAGAATTTTGCGAATAGAAAGCACTGGTGCTCAATTAGATCTTGACAGCGCTTTAGCACATCTCTATCATTTCTGTGCAGTCTTGACAACAAAAGATTTCGTTGATCTCAGGCCCGATTTTATTTACTCCTCCAGTCTGGGATCTAAATATGTTTGGGCAAAGGTCATTCTGCCTGGATCGGTTTCTCAAAGTCTGCGGATTCATAGAAGCCGCAGATCGTGGTTGAGTGAGAAATCAGCTGCAAAGGACGCAGCGTTTGAGGCCTATTCAGCATTATACAAAGGAGGCTTAGTGAACGATAACTTACTACCCTTGATGGTGCATGATAAAGTCATCGATGAGCTGACTTCAAAGCCCGTGGATACACGCGCATCTCTTCTGGAGGTGAAAGAGAGATTAAATCCATGGATTGATATTGCTAGAGCATGGCAAGAGGCAGAACACCATGCTGGAATCGTTCGCACATCGGTTATGAGCTTTAATGGGATGAAGTTGGAACTTTGTCTTCCCATTGAGCCACCAGCAATACCCCCGTTGAAGCTTTACTGGAATTCTGATACTGAGTTCTTTGTTGACTTTACAAACGATATCGAAATTGGCACCAGCGAGAATATGTTAGCGCAGGCCTTGAATGATACAAATCTATTATTATCAGATCGTGGTCGTAAAGTTCATATCCAGTCACGTCGAACAGTTGTGCAATTTATCTTGCTTCAAGATGTGGGCTCACTCAGTTCAGATTGTGTTCCAGTTGATCCTAATGGTAGTATCAAAAATACAGGTTTCATCAGAGAGGTCGGCAAGCTAGAATCGCCCTATGTCTTTGAAAAATGGTTGCCCAGTAAGCCACCAATCAATCAAGTCAAAATTCCTTATCCAGACTATTCAGATGCACCAGAAGACGTCCCACATCTAGCTGTGGTTAAAGTAAGTCGCCGTGCAGACTTTTTGCACAAGGTACAGAATGAAAAACCCTCATCCTCTTCGAAACAATTTTCCTCTGTCCTCCCTGCTTCGAGATGTGTGCAAGATGTTATGTCCGCACGGTTGTCTCAGTTCGGCATGATGATTCCTTCCATCACACACCACATTGAGGTGCAACTCGTCGTAGACCGTCTATCTAGAACCATTCTCAGGGATCTCAAGATTAGCGACCGGAGTCTTATCCAGACCGCTCTCACACATGCTGGTTACTCATCAGACTCGAATTACCAACGTCTCGAATTTCTAGGCGACTCGATTCTCAAACTGTGTACGTCGATACAATTGGTGGCAGCGCATCCAGATTGGCACGAAGGATATTTGTCGGCTAAGAAAGATCGTATCGTGTCCAATTCACGCTCATCAAGAGCGGCGGCTGAACTCGGTCTGGATGAGTACATAATGACCAAGAAATTCACCGGTGCAAAATGGCGTCCATTGTATGTCGAAGATCTGGTCGTCACAGAACCAAAAACCAGAGAAATGTCCTCTAAAATCCTTTCCGATGTTGTGGAAGCACTAATCGGCGCATGCATGGTTGATGGCGGCATTCCCAAAGCCCTCAAATCTCTGCAACTATTCTTCCCCGAACTCGACTGGCTCCCTCTAGAAACCCGACAAATGTCACTCTACCAACAAGCTCCCGATAATCTCCACCTCCCTATCACTCTCCGCCCCGTCGAACACATCCTCGGCTACACCTTCACCAAAAAATCTGTCCTCGTCGAAGCCATGACGCACCCCTCCTACACCGGCGGCACGCAATCTCTCGAGCGCCTCGAATTCCTTGGCGATTCTATCCTCGACAACATCATCGTTACAGCCATGTGGTCGCACCCCACTCCCCTCTCCCACTTCCACATGCATCTCCTGCGCTCGGCGCTCGTCAACGCGGACTTCCTCGCCTTTCTCTGCATGGAAATGAGTATCCACCAAAACGTCACCCATCTCACCGAAGAAAGCAATCACCGCATCCACGAATCACGCTCGCGACGGCGCGTCTCCCTCGTGAATTTCCTCCGTCATTCAAGCGTGTCTTTTTCTATCTATCAAAAAGACGCTCTGGCGCGCCATGCGGAGCTGCGCGAACAGATTCTCGAGGTGATATATACCGGGGATAGATTCCCCTGGGCCCTATTATCGCGACTGGATGCGCGGAAATTCTTCTCCGATATGATTGAGAGTTTGCTGGGGGCGGTGTGGATTGATAGCGGCTCGATGGAAGTGTGTACGCAGTTATTGGAAAGAATGGGAGTTCTTAAATACATGCGACGGATCTTGAAAGAAGGAGTGCGGATTATGCATCCGAAGGAGGAGTTGGGTATAGTTGCCGATTCTGAAAATGTCAAGTATGTTCTGCGGCGTGAGAAGATGGGTGGAGATGCTACGAATGCGGATGATGGTGCAGATGGAGAGGTGCGCGCGGAGTATCGATGTACGGTATTCGTGGGCGGGGAGGAGATTGTAGAAGTGGGGGGTGGAGTGAGGAAAGAGGAGATTCAGGCGAGGGCTGCGGAGGAGGCGGTGCGGATTTTGAAGGCGAGGGGTCATGGAAGGGGGAATGCGGGGGAGGGGAAAAAGAGAAAGTAGGTTGATAAAGAGAGGGCATCTGTAAGAGAGGAAGGGAAAATTAAGAGGGAGGATAAGATGGATCTTGATTAACTTATTCCTTGTTATCAGGCTATTACTTGTGAATTACAGTTGCCACTACTACCTGGGTATGTATGTTGATCTATACATAATCATAAGATAGCACATCAAATGAAATAGTTTAATGGGTATTTTTTTGGATCTTCCAGTATTTTTTAAGAAATGAACTAGTAAACTAGCAATAAATCTGAAAAGCTTCCGGACTGTTAAAAAGTCTCCGGGTCGAGAATATCATGAAAACCCCAAGTATTCACCTGGGAGCCAAGATCAACAAATGATCATCATATTACAGTATCATCTATGCGGTGATTATGCCAAGCGAGCCGCTAGTTCTTGGGGATGGAGCACTAGGAATAGGGGGCCGGATTGCCATATCCTTATCAAGATCTAGGTTGTATCGATATGATAGATTAATGCAATGTAGAGCTCAAAAATCATACGCCACATGACGGGTCACTATTGGCATGCACGTTTCTGCGGCACTTTAGCAAATAGTTGTGAATTATAGAGTCTATATCTTTAGTAGCTAGCAATAAGACGGATGGTTCAGACACATTCCGCCTTCTCTTTACCATTCTCCTTCTCGTATTCATATGTCATAACTGCAAAGGAACGCTGTATCTTAGATTGTACTAAGAGGTCTCCAGCTTCGACAACCAATTGATGATCATCATAGTTTGAACCATTGCAACTTTCTCCCCATATCTTTCTCCATCAGTACTACTTGCCTGAATAGTTAGATTCCAAAGTCGAAGGATATCCATGTGTTTGTCAGGGGTAATTCTGTTTAGCTCGTCCTGGTATTTCCATATCTCCATATTTCCCTCATTACCGGATTGCTTTGAAACGCCGTAGGCAGTAGGACCAAGAAGAAGTATCGGAATATTGCGTTCAGCGCCGTTGGTAATACCTATCCACTCATTTATTGAATCGATGGCGAACTTCATATCGTGAGAATATTTATGGCCAAGAGAAAAGATCACCGGAGTAGGTCGCCAAGGATCTGGTTTTTGGTATGCTAATGACTTAAAGGTAGCTATAGCGGCGGACGACGCAGGTGTAGTCGTGAATGGTATGTAAGCATGGGGGATTCCTGATTTTTATGTTAGAGTGCTGTCTTACAAAAAATCCAAATAAGCCTTACTTTGACACGCGTACGGGCTTCCTTTTGGGTCATTCGCTTCGTTTGTAACGACTTCCTCGGAATTCTTCACAGAATATCCGAGACAATTATTGTCCAAGAATTGAGCATCGCATTTACATACAATCCTCTCATCGTCTGTCATCAACCATTCTTGAAGGCCGCCGTGCGATATATCCTCTCTTAGAAAGACGTTGAGAGCAGCATATATAGTTTGCGCAGTCTCATCACCAAGGAACACAATAGCGCTAAATCTTTCGAGTATCATACATATTTCGGAAGTCGAAAACCATCGATATGTGCAACCTATATAGATTAGTGACAATCTCAAAAAGGGAAAAGAGTATATTCCTACCTTTGCCAACATATGGTTCATCGAATCCATGTCTACCTCCACTGCTCAAAGCTTCGAGAAGTGTTGCCCTGTTTTTGCAGAAGGGTGAGACGTTCGATTTGGTGGGGTATGGCACATGATAGATATCTGATTGTATGATTCCACAGTCTTTGCTTCCTAGATACTGTTTGATGGCACTTCTCGTAGTTAGAACGGCTGTTTCCTTGCCCAATTGAAGACATTACCTTTCTCCAGGCCCAATCACCTTCAGTTTAGATGAGACCACGACATTATCAGATACAAATCCCTTGAATGGAGACCAGACTGCATAAATGAAGACAAATACGACTAGACATATGCCTCCGAGACGGTAGTTGCTTGAAGAAATCATTACCGGCTTAATGAAACTTGATTTTATGGAAGATATCGTAAGCTGCAATTGACGATAATTTCATCAAAGGGATCTTGTCATTCTGGTACTATTTGTTTTCTTTCGAGAAAGAAAAGGAAGATTGACGTTGAAGTGGGCAGGTAACCTTACGGGTAGTTACATCTTCCTGGTTGAGTTATCAAATCGTGCTTTCCCCGTTTGTTATTTTTGTGACACGTCAAAAGGTCGCCATATTCCATGGTTGAAGATGTCGGATTCACACTTTGGATGAAAAAATGGTTTGAAAGAGCAGCCAAAACTTTGGATGTTCACTTCTTATGCCGGAATCCCTTCATCTTTCATCCATCTCTCGTCCTTCTTTCTCACATCCTCAATCCCTGTTCTCCATTCCCCATTTCCCATTTTCTAGTTCTGATCAGGTCGATCTTCCAAAACAAAGTAGAAATATCAACACTGAAATAAGTCGCTCTTTACACAGAGAAACGTCGATATGAGTCCTCGACGTGAGTTCTAAATTCAATACCATCTCATCCGTCTCTTGCTCTTTGCTTTTTTCGTTTTTCGCACATAACATTGGCGTGAAAGTCTAGACTATAGATGCGTCACGTGTTTCATGCCCCCCAGAAGAGCCCAAGGAAAAGTCGAGAGAATAAATGTGTGTTCCAAGACTCAGCTCATTCAAAAGGTCAAAGTTTGTCTGCCTACCAATTTCCTGTCAATGCCTTTCTCCTTTCTCTTTATTTTCTCCGCCAATTACAATGGCCAGTATACTTCCCGCAAGTATCCGTAAGATTGAGTTTTCCGGATCTGTCCATGGGTTAACATCCGAGGTAATTTCGATGCTTGATGTATAGAAGATGGCGACACGCATGTTGTGAAAAGAAGATTGACATCTTTCTTCCCAAGACCATTAGGTTGACTCAGCTGCCAATGCCAATAGACGGTGTGGTTAAAGATGGTGTGTGTTGTTGGACGACGTGATATGTAAGTTCAGTTCAGCAAGCGACACCAAAGAAAGATCCGAAATACCTTTCTAGCAAGGGCGGGGAAATGTTCGAGGACAAACAGCGTTGCAACGTGGGTGATATATGGTGCATCGTCGGTAAGGTTATCTCGGTCGTTCGGAAACAAGGGGGATGATGGGGGAGCTTTCGGTACTCAGAGACACGCATCCATACATATACATACATGCCATGCCTACCTAGTAGTCTTCTTCCATTTGCTGCAGATTGATCTTGTACCGGTAACATGGCACTTTTTCATATGATGAGAACATGACTATTAGTTCGATCTAATCATTGTACATGTGCACACGATCAATTTTCAAATAGAGAAATAGAGAAAAAATAAGATTTGGATTTGTTTGCAAACAATCAATTGATACCAGTTCTTTCTTTCTTCTCTCCATCTCTATCTACCTTTACTGTCTCCAATTGTCAATTCACCAATCAGCGCCTTCGTTTTGCCTCGGTAGCATTTGGTTAGCTCTGCGTCATCTGAGTAAAGGTACTCACTCAACTCCCAGGATATCACGAACGCGGGGAGAAAACTCAACAATTGTTCAAATATTGTAAAGATTTCAATACCGCCAACCACAGCTAATGTTAGACTGAAATATTAGACAATTGAAAGGGTTAAGATTACATTCAAGGGGCCCTAGGGCCAAAGGAATTAAACAAGATGTCGTGGAAGACAACTGAGATGTTGATGGATACCATCAAACATTATTCACATTTCCCAGCTACGGGTGTGAGTCTGAGGCAGATGGTACAGTTTGGAGAGAGGCCATCTACAGGTAAGCTATCAGATTATATTCTGGGGACTGGGGAGATTCTGCTATTGTTCCCAAGCTAATAAAGTCTTGCTCTACAAATAGGTACACTTTTCCGAGCATCACAATTCCTCTCGGAAGAACTTCCAATACGACTTGCGCATCGAGTGCAAGAACTATCAGACTTGCCAGATGGCCTCAATGAGATGCCCTCAATCAAAAGGGTGAAGGATTGGTATGCACAGTCATTTGAGGTATGACTCTTTATCCACCCACAAATGCCTGCGTGAATTGACATGTGAAAGGAAATTACCACACTCCCTCGACCACAATTATCGTCAGATGTTAAAGAAAGACTTATGAAGCCTGCGAAAATAAATGGAAAGCCATCCAAGATTCTTGCGGAAGCAACACAAAACCCGAGCGTAATGAGGGGCAATACAGCTCTAATGGAAATGGAAAAGGAAAAGAATCAAAGTCGGCCGCAGCAAGAAGATATTTTGCCACAGTAGAAGATAGTACCGACTGGCCCCCAGAACTTCACGATTATAACCAGAGATTCGCACAAACCCTTAATCATATAAAGAGGCGGCACGATGGAGTTGTCACAACCGTCGCGCAAGGAATACTCGAATATAAGCGGAAACGGCAACGCATGCAGATCGATAATAACATACAATCCTTCCTCGACCGTTTCTACATGTCCCGTATTGGCATCAGAATGCTCATTGGACAACACATAGCACTCACAGATCAAAGTCACGATAAAGATCCTAATTATGTAGGCATTATATGTACAAAAACCAATGTTCGAGATCTTGCGGAAGAAGCAATCGAAAACGCTAGATTTGTCTGCGAAGACCATTACGGGCTCTTTGATGCGCCAAAGATTCAACTCGTGTGCCCTCCAAACCTTCATTTTATGTATGTACCCGGCCATCTCTCGCATATGCTCTTCGAAACTCTCAAAAATTCCCTTCGAGCTGTTGTCGAAACACATGGACAGGACAAACAAGATTTTCCCGTCACAAAAGTCGTCGTCGCGGAGGGAAAAGAGGATATTACTATCAAAATCTCAGACGAGGGTGGCGGAATACCTAGAAGTTCTATACCTTTAGTTTGGACCTACATGTATACTACTGTGGACAGTACACCTAGTCTAGATCCAGATTTCGATAAGAGTGATTTCAAAGCTCCAATGGCAGGATTTGGTTATGGTCTTCCGATCTCAAGATTATATGCTAGATATTTTGGAGGAGATTTGAAGTTGATTAGTATGGAGGGGTATGTTTCACAAGTTTTTTAATATTCCTTTTCCTACAAATATGCAATGAACTAACCAGCACTACTACGAAATAGCTACGGAACAGACGTATACCTTCACCTAAACCGACTTTCCTCGAGTTCGGAGCCTCTCCAATAACAATCAGCAGTCATGAGGGATACCTGGAAAACACAGTCCTCTCCCGATATTGGCGGGGCGCGAGCTAGGGGGGGAGACGGTATATCCCGAGGATTGACGCTGGGTCTAGGACATAAACAAATGAATTTGAAATTGGGCAAAGGAAAGGCAGGAATAGGAATGCGAGAGGTTTCGGAACGGAAACAGGTCGGCGATGCGGAAAGTATGATTAATGAGGGAAGAGGAGGGAGTGGAATGGAAGGAGTCTTTATGGGTGAAGGAGGGGAGGTTTAGAGGAAGAGAAGAGCATAAGGAAAATGGGGTTGTAGACAAGAAAAGAGGTGTGAAAACTTGCGGCGATACTAGATTGAGGGGGTTTAGATCGGATGGCATGGGATGGGATGGGTGGAATAGGGGAAGAAAGAGAAATGATGGAGTTGGTTGGAGACTTTTGTATATATTTGGATATGCACAACACTGTGTTTATCCCCTTTCATCATGAAACGTGGATGATTTTGAATCTCGAAACCTCGAAACTTGAGAGCGAGAGCGAGAGCGAGATGCGCACGAGGATGAGGATGAGGATGAGAATGAGGATGAGAATGAGAATGAGAATGAGAATGAGAATGAGAATGAGGTTGGGTGGTTAGTTGATTGGCTGGCTTAATTTATATGTTATGTATGTAGGCAGGTACGGTATGGTATCGATTATGAATAAAATAAAGTAGATGAGATGAAATTCTATAGAAGATGAGGAGATGAGAAGACGAGATAATGTGAGATGGTGTGTGATAAATAGTCTAGATTGGATGGAATCGGATCAGATTGGATTGGATTGGTATATGGAAGGAGAAGTTGTAACTATAGATAGGTAGGTAGGTAGGTACTTAGTGATATCGATATATACATATACATACAAGTAAAGCCGAGAGCAGAATCTCCTTATATCTCTCCTCTGCCCTCTCATCCCTCTCCTCTTCTCTCCCCTCCTCTTCTCTCCTCTCCTCTCCTCTCCTCTCCTCTTCTCTCCTCTCCTCTTCTCTCCTCTCCTCTTCTATAAACAAAACAAAATAAGAGCCCAATTGAATCCAATCCAATCCAATCCAATCCAATCCAATCTTCAAATTTCAAATTGCAAAAGGCCACCCACCCACACCAATTCCTTCCTTCCTACCAATAATTTCTTTGTGATATATCTAGCTATCTAACTCATCTACCCAAGTTCAACCTACCTCCCTATCCGACTAAATCCAAATATCCCACCACATCACATCACATCACATCACATCCCAGCTCAAATTCAACTTACTACCTACCTACCTACCTACCTACCTACATATCTAACTAGTAGAGATAGGTAGCGCAGAAAGAATGTATCGTATCATATCATATCATATCATATACGCCAACACTCTAATCTCTAATCTCCATGCTCCCTCTCTACCTCCATGCTCCCTCCCCCTTTTTAATCCCTCTACTCGCCAGCTAAGTAGCCCCTCGCCTCTTCTTTCCACACCTCCCTGTTCCCCGTGCCCTCATAATATCATCATACGCCAAAACCCCAAGTGTATGTATGCATACCGCAATACGATACAAGACAATACAACGCAATACCAACTCCTCATCTCAACACACAAATCACATCCATTCAGACCAAATCAATTCATATCAAATTCAGAATAAGCACAGGAAAACCAAATAGCCAAAAAAGAATCAAACATCTCATAAAAATTTCTGATAATGGTATCGTACTTGCTAACCTGCATAACCCCCTAAGAATATCAACGCTAAAAGACAAAACACATACATCCAACATTTGATGATGATGATGTTACCAAGAAACCATTCCAATACTTTCCTAGCCCCTAGATATTCAAAATCCAAAATCCAATTCCTAATTCCATATCTTATCCCTATCCATTGCCTAAAACAGAAGCGAGAACCAGTTAATTTTCCAGATCCAAAAACGACCGTATCCAAAACATAAAAGTGACAACGTCAATATCAATCCATGAACCTCGTCTCTCATCTTTCATCATCATATGATATCATATCATCAATAAAAAATCATTCGTTAATATAATTCCCAGAAATTCCAGTACTCTCCGCACTACACATCAGTAATACATACTATTCCTCATACTCTTATCCAACCCACTACCTCGATACCAATCCTCATAATCAGCGCCAACTGTGGGTTCCATATACGAGCTCCTAGTTGTGTGTTCACTGTATGCGGAGCCCGTAGACTTAGTGGGACGATCACGGTCATAATCGCTACTTCTCGAATCTAGTCCTTCGTGTAACCTATCCCATTTCTCGGCATCTCTCGGACTTGAGAAATCATTGATATGGGTAGTACTTGAGAAACGATCATCTTCCGCTCTACGGTGAGAACGGTCATCTCGTCGCCTATCTCTCGAATCACGAATATCTGAAGAGGGTGGCGGAGGGAAGGAATTATTCGATCCATATGACGAGGGTGCGAAGGCGGGTGGGAAATTGGCGGGCGATGGCACATAAGTGCTGGATCCAATATCAATATTGGTAGGTGTAGAATGGCTATAGCTCTTGAATTGAGGGCTACGACTGCGTTTCGAAGATGATAGTGGCGGTGGCTTATAATTATCTTGGCTAGCATTACTTTGCCTACGGGTATGTCTTGACCGACTACGCTCACGTTCTTGCGGCTCTTTTACGCGACTAGTAGAATTCGCCCGTCCAGGCCTATTCGGGAAATTAGGATTACTGGATTCGGTGTGAGTCTTGCCACTACCAGGCTGGGCGGAATATGGCTTTCTTTCGCGTTCAATCGGTACACTTGGTCCCTCATCGACGCTTGACGACTCAGATGGGGCCGAAGGAGCCCCAGCATAAGGCATACGTTCTCGTTCTATAGGCTTGCTAGTGGGGCCTGTGTATGAGGAGGCCCTGGGTTGAGGTGTATCATCAGAACGGGATTGCGATCGATCAGTGGGTGATGTCTGACGAAGTGGTACGCTCGAGGTTGTTGGCTTGCTTCTGCTGCTATGAGAAATGCCAAGTTCATCAGAGAAGTGAGATAATGAAGTCCTCATAAGTTTCTCCGATTCACGATCCCCGGTATTAGGTAATAAGTGTCGTGATATCTGTTTTGGTAAACGTTCCGGTTTTCCATCTACCATTTGCCCATCGGCATTAATCGGTAAAGCTAGGACAACTTTTCCTAATCTCTCGGATTCTTCGCTAGGGTAAGCGGAAATCTGAATCGTCATCCAATGTGCAAATCCAAGTGGAGTCAAGGCTGGTATCGTAGGAGCCGAATGGAAATCTTCTTGGACGAGGTGATGTTGACATCCAAGATCTTGGTATAGCTTCGAAATTTGTGTGTTGGACAAATTTTTGAAAATGGCTAGATATGTGAGCATGGGTAGAGCTAAGATATAAATTGAGAAATCTTACAAACATATGGATGGATTTCCTTATTGTTAACAGGGTACGAGCTATAATATGTTGCCATTTTCGAAGGTGTAATCACAATGCTCCTTTTGGGCGCAAAATCATCGACCTGTGAATGGTGTCAGTAGGGCATTTAACATAGCCTTAAATTGAAGTGAAAATAAAGAGTGATTCGGCGAAAGCCTTGTCACACCGAAATGCCTCATCAAAGAATAGGAAAACTAACAATATGATTCGCAAGTCCTCTCAAGAACTGTCCCAACCTTTCCGTGGGCCGAGAATCATTATCGAACAATCGACCCCATTTATGATCAATTGTAGATAATTCCAAGGACGAGTATGTGCGGTGAACTTTCTGCGCCGGTCGCTCATTGTAAACACGATCACGATCCCGATCACGGTCATTAAACCTCACGGAAGGTTTGTCCGAGGAAGGACTTGCAGGAGGAGATCTCATAGGTTCTGTAGGTGGAGGGGAAAAGGTTGGTTTGGTAGTGGAAGTTGGTGAAGGAGGAGTGTAGACTCTGCGATTATCTAGAGGGGGGGAGATTGATTTGTAGAGTTGGATTTCTCCGAATATTCGCGTTGCATATATGAGGCTCGCGGTTGGTCATCAACGGAGCCTGTTTGCTTCAGATGTTCGAAGACTAAGTGAATAGGTTTCAGTAAGCATGGGCGACTGGTGAGGCTCAACAACGCTCAAAAGTGACAAACATGCAATAAGAGAAGTACAACATATACTTACGTTCTCTTTTAACCTTTTCCGTGATTGCTGCAATTATCTCCGGCGATACTGCATCGTGATCTACAGCAGAGCCACGGTCGGAGCCATATGCTGTTCCCATATTATTATTGTTCGATGGGTATGACTGTTGTGGTGAATGTGGTGGTACACTTGATGCGCTTTGGGAAGCGTGAGGGAAATCTCGAGATTCGGTAGGATATCTATTCGAGGTCGAGGGGATTGAATAGGCAGGCATATGCCTGTTGGCATCATTGAAATTGTAGGTCTCGTAGGTCTCATAGTCATATTCCGACCCTGAGTCGCCTCGCAGAGGGCGACCATAAGCGTCAAAATGGGCCATCTTCAAAGGCGAGGCTATGTTATTTTGGCGTTTGCTACTTCATAAAGGTCGAGCGAGGGGTTGAGTTTCGGTTTGGTATATGTTATTCTTGTGTCTTATACTTTGCTCGTGATTCGAATGGATAATGAGGTTTGGCCTGACGCAAGATATGATGCACGGTTTGTAAGACGAGAGATATTCAATTTGGAATTTGAAAGCTCTGAGTCTGGTTGTATCTGGTGGGGGATGTCACCGTTTCTCAATATGTGCAAAAGCTTTATTGGGAAGATGTGGGAAATATCTCGAAGAAAGTCGTGTCGTCCACACAGCTTCCGATTAAGTTAGCTAGGTAGGTCAGCCAGCTCCATACAATACCTTATCACTAGGTACCTACTCGGTGCAGGTGCAGAATCCGAAGCAGAACGGAAGAAACAAAAGAAAACAAGACTTTTTCACTTCAGATACTGCAATGCAAGTCTTGCGAGCAAGGACTCTTCTGTCGCTATACATCCAATCACATCCTAGTCTATGGCTTTCATTGGCTTATTTGGCGTCAAGAGTCCCACGAGATAATTTCCAACATACATATATCGGGCAACGGCTATGCGGAAAATTGTTTTTTATTGTTTTACTCATCGATGGATGGATGGATGGATGATTTACTTTAACTTCGAGAGCAGACCTGGGCACAATTACGATTACGATTAGAATTAAGATCTACCAAGATGACATAGCTCAGTCACAATACAACACTTTGTACATCATCATCATCGGTGGTTTTTGTATTAGACAATGTATATAAAATCCTTGCACATTTACTTGCTATCCATCTACCTACCTACCCAGTACTTATAGTAGGTACCTAGCTATCTATACCTTACCTATTTTATCTACTCCGTATCTATATATATATATATACACTCTGTAGTTACAACGGCGTAGAAGAATCCTTATGACGCAAATCACAATTCATCAATTGATTCATCCAAGATTACAAGGTAGAAAAATCCATGGGTGATGGATAATAAAATACTTTCTGCCCTGAATTCATCATCATCGACATCATCATCACGCAACATGTTGTTCTCCAGCATCACCTCTCACAAGTCAATATAGGATGATCCCTATTTCAAACTCCTTCTTCGGGAGTTCTCCCCATTTCGTTTCACAGAACAGGCTTCTCGGTCTATCATTTTGACTACCTACCAACACCAACTCATCCTCTAGTTCATCGCCTCCCCTCCCTCAATGGTCTCAAAACCCCATCTAAGCCAATCTCCATCCTTCACGATGACAAAACTTCCTCTCCATTATCCATAGTTCCCGTTGACTACGCATTAGCTTTCCACTCTAACAATCCAACCACTGGACAAGTTAAATAATCACACCACTATCTAATAAAGTGACCACGTCTACACCCACTAATAATTCCCATCGTCCCTGAACTAACAATTAGACTGGCTCACTGGTTCACTTCTCCATCTCTAGTACATCATACTACAGAGCTCTGTAGATCGCACGTACACACATACACATTAACACAGCACACTACAGAGCTCTGTATATCGTACGTACATACACACGAACACAGCACACTAACAATCTCTAAACGAGAATTCAAGTAGGGGTACCCGAGTAAAGGGAATCAATTTTTCATAGGGCTTTCATAGGGCTTTTTAGTTAGACATCTAGTAGACATCTAATCTAGTATCCAACTTCAACAAACTACAATGAAATCAATTTTCAATTAATCTTTTCAATTTTTTTACCACAGATCGAGAGATATTCAATCTTCAATCAATCCTCTCAAAAGATTTAAATAAAACATGTTAAACATTCATAAGCACTTAACCACTCAACCAATTACCATCCCACTCACTCATCAACCAACCAACCAGCCTTCCTTCACATACATACCTACATCATCACCGCGCACCCAATCCTCTCCTCCCTCCCACACCTATTCCTTCCCCTCACTCCCCCACCAAAAGCCCATCCCATCCATCCATCATATCATAGCAGGGCGTAGAAAGATAGACACAACACACGTGAAAATCATCCCCCGCCACGTTTCACCCTGTCTCAATTCATTCAAATCGTTGATTCCATTCAAGACCTTGGGAAGCTGCAACACAATAATCATCTTAAACATAATTACCCTCCCATAACCAATTCCCCCTCCAATTCGCCCATCTCAATCCAACGACCTCTTCTACACCATCTCATTTCATTACATACTAACAAATACACTCCAATCAACTCCACAGATCAATCGCCAACCCATTTTGACCACCTACATAGATATTAGATATATTTTCCATTTACTTAATTACCAAGGTTAATTCATCACAAGTCACAATAGTATTTATCACTTCTGTTTACACACTCACTCCCAGACCAATTACCGGCCCACCCACCGAAATCCCTATATTCGGGCATGAAAGGCCTGTCTGTATAGCTTCCTATCTATCATGCCATGAACCACTACAAAAACTTTCCCGTACTATATCATATCATATCATATCATATCATTTTAATCCAAGTGTCAAGCAACCAACAAATATATAAACATTCTACCTACATCTCAAACCTCACATCTCAAACACATCTAACATCTAACATCTAACATCTAACATCTAACATCTAACATCTAACATCTAACATCTACAACCACCACCCAATCCATACACTCATAAGAACAACCACAGCCTTCCATCTCTCATTTCGTCCCATCTTACCCACCTCACCCATCTCACCCTCACCTCGCACTGCTACAACTCGAATTGTCCCAATTTCCATTCCCACTACATCGCCCATCCCATCCCATCTCATCTCGTCCCAGCTTTTTCATCCCATCTCTCATCTCTCTTATCCCATCTTCCGTCCCATCTCATTTCACCACATGCATTCTCACAAACATATCCCATAGCTACGCATACTCCCATTCTGATACACTCTCCCTCTCCCCCCTCCCCTCCCCTCCACAAATCTACCCTCTACTATGCACCCTCTCCTCTTCCAAAAATCTTCTCCTTTTCTCTCAATCTTCCAATCCCCCAATCAACCCATTATGACCCCTCTAAACACATACATAAACAACATTACACCCTCCCAGACAGATAAAATATATACTAATCAACATCCTCCTACCACAGACACAGACATATCCAACATTCACCAGCCACTCTTCCTCACTATATCCAATCTATCATCTACCTACCTGACAGCCTACCTAACAGCCTACCTAACTTACAAACCTCCTAATTGAACTCTTTCTATAGAAGCTAGCCAACCTATTCTGACAGTACAGTGATACTCGAATAAAGTATCGAATGGTAGTCGATAAATCTACATTACTCATTGATATAAATCTTAAGAAGGATGAAATCTAGAACAACTTTTTGACTTATCCTCGAGAATCAAACTGTACAAAAATCTTTTTTAAAGATTTCAATGATTGTGAGATCTCAAAGTACCAAGGTTTGGGAGAACTTCTGCAATAAATAGAACATACAATAGCATTTCACTAATAATACTTCATATGTGAGTAAACCGCTTGTATTAACTATCTAAAACAGCGCATCACGAGTAAAGCCGGCTTGCCAGCATCTTCAGTCGAAACCAAAGGCCCGAGCCATGAAACCACCGCATGCCGTGAACGGAGCTCGAGAGCAACGCCAACGTTAATAGAGTTCGGAGAGGAACAAAAAAGCTATTGTTAATTTGTGGAAAAGAAAAGTCATTGTTTTGATAAAAAGTCGCTCGCTAATTAAGGAGCCTCAATTAAAAAATTCATAAAGTCGTTGCGAATATTCTACTCTCCACAGGAAAACATGGTGCCCGGGGGAGCAACCAAGGAGATGGGCAGGCTTCGAACCTTTCAATAGTCATTTCATTCACATTTCGTCATCGCTGGAGTCGTAGGCAGATCTGCGGTAAACTTCATTCGACTCTGGGGCCCATGCAGTGACAGCACCTGGATTGGCTGGTTGTGCAGTACGAGTGCCGATCTGAAAGTCAAAGTTCTATTAGCATATTTGATAAAATTACAAAATAAGTGATAGAGCTGAAAGAGTGAGATCAACATCCATATCAAGGGACTTACAGGCTTAGCCCAACCAGTGGATGGATTAACAACCACGCGGGAAGCAGTGACGACTTGGATTTGGGTGACTGGACGAGTAGCGAGAGCAGGACCGCTGGCAACAGAAGTCGCGCTGGATGCGCCAATAGCTGAAGTAGCTTGAGAAGTCAAGGTCATTGCCTTTTCTTGAGAATGGCGTACTCCATTGGCATCATATGCATTGTACTGTATGGCAGGACCTGCGCGACGTCTTGAGTCGCGAGTAGACCATACATCCGAGCTAGTTGGCAGATCCGCTGTACGAGCACCTTCATAGGCGTTACTCATAGATGATTGCGAGCGGTTCTCAATTTGACTGCCAGCAGCTGCTCGTAGATGCGGTGCAAGCTGGGAACCGTTTGGAGTGTTGCCAAGGGACAACTGTGAAATGTTGATCAGTACGTCGTAAATCACTTCAGGGCTCGAATGTCACCCTCTGAATGAACGAAGTCATCTGGTACAATAAAATGAAGGCAGAAAGTACTTACACTCGCCATGCTCGCAGCATAAGAAGAACCTGTTGTGGGCTCAGGTGCATCACTGGTTGTATCAAGCTGCTCTAGCTCAGTGCCAGGAGCAGGTGTAGTATTGACCTCGGGATGATGACCTTCCTTCCATTGAACGCATTCCATGCACCACTATACAACACGTTAGTCATTACACACATGTAAAGTAGAGGCCACTTATGGAAATTTCGCATATTTACCCCGTTACCCCTAGATCTCTGAGCCTTGCTAAACTGGTCCAAAGATTTCCATTTAGAGCATGGCCCCTCGCACTGGCGCTCCGAAGCTTGTCCGCCCTTGCAACCAAAGCATCGTAGAAGTGAGTTTACAGGGTCGAGTGTCATGCCCGGATTTCGAGCAAATTGATTTGCGTACGAAGCAATCTCTTTCTTTGAGAAGCAATCCTTGGTCTTGTAAATGTTGCAATGGCGGCATTTGAATCTGAATCTGTAGACAGTGTTGTCAGCGAACTTCATGAAAGATAGCACGAAGAGAAGAATCATCTGACGACTCATGCGTATTTGATGTGCACGATGAGTATTGTTTGACTTACCCGACTGGAATGACGCCTGCGCACCTACAAATTCTGATTAGCTCAAACACACCGCAGAATTTATTGGAATACACACTCAACAGCAGGAGCATAACGATTATTGCGGAATGACATCCTGAGTAGAAGTTGACGAACTAATATCAGGAAACTTGCTGATAATTGTGGAAGAAAATTGAAGTTGAGCCTGAGATTGACAAAGTTATGGGTTCTAACAATAAATTAGAAAATCTGCATAGCGCCTGAGATTTGATATTGCGATTTGTAAAGTCAGTTCACTTTCCGGTTTTATTTCCAGGAAAAGCGAAGTATGGAAGAAGTTGTGAATTAGGATTCGAACAAGACAATCAATCTGTCTGTGAAAAGCCGAAGGGTCTGTGGAGGAATTTGGACAATCTCAAAGCTCGAGATGAATATGAAATAGATGAATACTTGGATATAGTTACTTACTCGTCAAGGTAGAGAAATCGCTGTATGGGCGTAAGACGTCCTGTTTTGTAGTTTGAAGTGAGGTGAAACAGTGCTGAATGAGGGCTGCCTTGAAAGATCGGTTGAGAATCTGGAAAAATGGCGCACAACTCGAGTGTTTGATCCTTAGTAAGTTGAGGCTCGTTCAAAGCATTAAAGGACGGGTTTGAAGTTATATTTTGAATTGGGATCAGTAGAAAAAGAAGAAGTTTGGTGGAGAGGGAAATGGAGTTGTTTTTGAAAGATGGTTGAGAGACGATAGGAACTTTTTTATAGCTAGTTGGCGTGTAGGCATCCAATCTATCTGTATCAGATAAGTGAATATGGAAAGAGGGGGAAGTGGTTTAGGAAGAAATGAGGAGGATGAATATCAACTTACCCCTCTCTTTCAAATGAATTTCAAAATCTAAACTGGAAGTACCTTTGAGTTTTGCACCTTCCTCTTCAACGAGCACCCGTCCGATATCTGAATTTCATCTCTTCAAATACCACTGTTTCGTTTGCTCGCTGGTTTGTTTGTCTACATCTGCTAGGCACCTAATAAGTACCCATCATTTGGTTCATGCGCCAGCGGGAACCTGCATCAAATCTAACTTGAGCTTTATTCATGTTGAGATTTTGCTGGCAGAGTTTTTTAATCTGCGCGGCATAGTTCATACGCGTCTTTTCATATTCTACCTCTTTTCTCGCAGTCTTTCCACCTTTGGATTCGCAGTACTTGCGTGATAGATCGATTGTTTGAATTTGGTTCCGCACAAATGATGTGATGACTATCAACATACACATGACTCTTGAATGGAGTCGTGGTGGGAACATGTTTCATTTCATTATGATTGTACAATAATGGAATGGTATACGCCATTTTGACATGTATTCAAATTGTCACATTGGAAACATCACTGTAGACAGGTACCTGGGTGCAGCTAGACAGCAAAATACTAGAGAAGTAGAATTGATATCATAAACAAAGCCGTGATTTCGCAAGTTACAAATGTGCCGTTCCTTGCGAAGAACATCAATGGTGTCGAACATCTCCTGCTCTCTGATAACATGATATTTGAAGGTCTTGCAGTCACTTGATTGCCAGATATCGCTACTAGCAATTCATCCTCGGCTCCATGGTACAGATTGGTAGACACAGCCAGCGCTGGGTGCCCGTGGCTGAAGAATAAGGCCATCTCTACACATCAAACTTTTTCCCTCATATATCGACTAACTACCAACCCGTGTGCAGTCATTCGTCACTTGTTGGAGAATCATCATCGGATTTCATAATCTCACAGTCAGGGGCACCGTCCTTGTTCGACCTACACTTTGATCCTCCGCGATTGCAGAAGGATTACAGATCTTGAGAGCTCAAAATACGCGGTTGGTTCTAGTGCTGACTCTTGCATCAGATCTCATTCATTGCACCAAATGGTTTCTTTTTGAATGAGGCCGAACGAGACCGATGGAGAGTCAGCTTTCATTTTGAATGCAGAACTTTCATCAATGACCCAGCAGAGGAAAAGCGGTACGGAAATATTATGCTTCCCCCAGATTTTTCATCCTATATCACACCGCTCAGCTCGCATATGCAAGCAACCGTTAGACTTGCGCTATCCTCCCAGCCTCGAATGAGACCCGATAGTGTGGATTACGGACAGGGTGAAACGTGTCAATCAGGATCTTCAGCGGAAGAACAAGAAACTAGCCCATTACCAGATATGCGAGGATATAGAAGCTAGCATGGCTTCGAGATGCCCTTTTTGTTTTTTTACTACCCGTGAGGTCGCATCCTTCCTATGGCATGATTATTTTTTGATCACGTTACATCAAAGAAGTCCGGGCACCTCAATCAATCATGCCAAATCAACCGCACCATCCTGCAGGCGTTTTTTTTGTGGAATATGGATACAGGGGCATCATTCAGGGTCTATATCGACCAATATGACGATGAATAGACTGTACAGTTTTCAAACATTAAAACCTGACTCCCAGCCTCCCAGCCTCCTCGAACAAATTTTCAAGCCAAAAAGCGTGCCGGCCCTTCGATAGCTTTTGGAACCGTCGACAGCGGAAGCCGGGAGAGCTAAAATCGTAGACTCGAAAGACCACGTTGAGTGGGGAATGATACCCGAACCATACCCACAGGAGTGGGCAAGGATGAGTTAAGTTAATCGTAAGGACTAAGACAAAATGGGCTGTCAACTGTCACTTTGTCAAAGTCTGAAGAAGGTTTTTTAAAATGGTAAAGAGAAGAAAGGGGCGCGCGCGGATGGTGTTACTGATGCCCATTGGGACGGGTATACTTCGTGTGGAAAGCTCCAGATCAATGATAACTACTAGGTAGGTAGGCAGGCAGAAAACATCTTACATGAAGCACGATGTATCAAGTGGAAAGTTGCAACGAAGTGACCAAATTAAACATGGTCCATTTGCCATGTTCAATTTTTTCATGAATCCATGATATACGCGCAGTCAGCTTCCGTCATGCTATTTGGGGGGAAGTAAAACATTCCCAGGCTGGATGCTTGGTTGAATTAGGTCACTGTAATGGATTGCATACACAACATAGGGTGCACAAAACACCACTAGATCATCTTGTCTTTCATTAGATAGTTTCTTTTTGCCAAGGCCATAGCGGTATGAAAGACCTCATTCTCTGAATCTTATCCAATTAGGCATGTATACAACGAGCCTACTCTCGGACAGTCTTGCATTGATGGCACGAAACCCGATTTAACAAGTATACGGAGTAGGCATGGGATTATATGGAAGTTTTATACACGGGGCGGCGAAACACGACTCACGAATGGTCCGTATGATAAATTCTGAGATATATTAGTGGATTGGAGTGATGATTTATGACTGTACGCATTGTTCACCAATGGAACAGGCATTAATATGAATCTTCCGACATTTCTTTTCCCAAATTCCGACTTGTTCTCCGAGGGTTACGGGATTTCCCCTATTTTTTTTTTCTTTTCAGAAAACTCTAACAGTAGGTAGGTATTCCCGATCAACATTTCAACATTTGGTTCAAGTAAGTTGTGATATCTCTTTGACATGTGCTCGTCCTTGATTGTCACAGCCCCAAAGCTATGCTTAAGTCCTATTTCTTCTAAATGTATTTCTAGAATAGCAACTGCAGAATCGGCAGTTGTTCAAGCGTGGCTTTGACGCCGAATGCACCTACGTATCTGAATGGCTGGTGATAAAAATAAAGATTTGTTTGGAACCTGTCATTGCAGTACTGGGGACGCTAAAATGAAGGGGGCAGGTAAAGGATACCCTAAATTGGGAGTGTAGCATTTAGACTCTGGAGCAGGCAAAAAGAGGTTACGGCGAAATGAAATGAATGGTGATGGATAGAGAACTAAATAAGTAAATCCAGATTTGATTTGATTTGATTTGATTTGATTTGGTATAAATTGTATAACATGAAGAAGGGAAGAGTAAAAGCGCATGACTCGAGGAGGCAAGTGCATATTTACGGTATTTGTCTGTACGATTGATTGATTGATTGATTGATTGATCGATTGAGGAATAAGCATTGCTGCCGACTCGATAGAAGAACCGCTGCATTTTCCCTCTCACCTGTGCCGTGCAAATGTATTTGATTTCCCGCGGTGTCTTGAAGTTCAATTGTATGGAGGAGCATGAGCCTAGCCAGTATCATGCAAAAGATTAGGTACGGTGTGCATTGACAATTCGAGTTTGGGGAGAAATATGGGAAAGCAATCGGAATCAATCAATCAATCAATCCAATCCAACCATCGCCCATTCATCGAAATAGGTAAGCTTTGATGCCATGGTGATAGATTTTGGGTTTGGAGGGATTTGGTCGATCTGTAATTACAGATGGTCTTGTGATAATGATATGATACCCAAGTGTGAAGTGGGTTGGTGGACGGGTTACCTTTCTGAATGGCTTCCAATTCCTGTACTGTGAGTGATTCTGCGACTGTGGAGGATGCACTTGACTGGAAGTCTCTGAATCAGAACATCTATGGCTGAACTCAAAGATACTAGACAATTACCACCTGGGTAGTGAGTAGTATTTTCAGGGCGTATGGTAAACAAAGGTAGCTGGGTAGGCATATATCGGAAGTCAATTTTGACACCTTAACCACTAAGCTGCTCTAATCACACTTCCCTCTCTTTTCATTTGCCTCCACCTCTCCAAGTCACATCCAACACAACACAGCACAACTTTTCTTTCCTTTCCTTTCCTTTCTTATCAGTGTCACCCTCCAACGCCTCGAATTTCATCGCGGCCTCACATTCTTTGGATCTGAACCGCATCACCGTATTGTACTTGCTGATCCCAAGAGAAAAGGCTCCTCCTTCTTGTACACATTTATCATGATGGCTATTGAATTGTACATCATGAGATACTAGCTCAGTGCCATGGAGGGGGTTTCTTCTGCCCTTTTTGATCTTCCTCTGCATATCTAGGTATCTCGCTGGCTTCAAGAAAAAACACCAAACAATTAATAAAATGGCCCATCCACCATCCATTATTTTCATCTCAATCCACTATTCTGATTCAAGAATCAAGACCCTTTTGACTTTCCTTTAATATAACCTCAATTGATTGGAAAGAGAAGAAGAAAAAAAAAAGAGGTCCCAAAGCCCGCCCCGCCTTTAAAGCCCCTCTTCATTCATTTTTCTTTACATCAAGATTCAATAATCCGTTGATAATCCGTGGGCCATACTCGTACATGACAGAGAGATATTACTTGAAGTCGTTAGGTACTTTGAGGTATCAACTTCCCCGGGGCCACCAAGGGCCATTGATTATTGAATGAATCCGCGTTCTCATCGAATCAGCATAATCACACTCTTTACTCGGCCGCTGTGTTGGCATCACAAGAAGCAATCGAACCTTTTTAGCCGATATCTATCAGGGATTCCAAACCAGCAAAGCACCGGCGATTTTTCTCTCTTTTCTTATTTGATTTACAGAATTACAGAATCACGGTGCTCTTGAGACTTAATTCAGCTAAACAGCGTGTTGTTCGAGACAAGTCCCCACAATCTCGCATATAACTCGCAGCATCAGTTCCCACACGTACATACCATACCTACCGTACACACGCACGCACGCACACTCACACACACACACGCATAACCTCAAATAAATCCGTCAGCCAGCATAATCAAGCATCAGCAATCCAACACTACATTGCACAGGAAGAAGAGAAGCCTCCAGAGATCACTCGCTCGCTAGCTATTGAGTACATACTGTCCATCCATACGCACGCAACTTACAGACCCTTCATTTCTTACCCTTCTTCCTTCCACACTCCTCCTCCCTCCTTATTAATTATAACCCGGTACGAGAACAAATCAATCAATTCAAATAATGCCAATTATCTAATATCCATTCGAGACTCACCCATTTCTGGCATCATATACCCCTGAAGGAACTACTAAAAGATCCAATCTACTGTTCGATGTCAAAGTGGATCTTAGCGAAATTGGTTATTACCATCACCCCCGAGCTGTTCATGCCCCAAAGATTGTCTTCTGGAAGGATTTGCGGAACTTAATAAAACACAAACCAGAGAAAGCGCGAAGCTTGAGGTCTTGCAAGTTTCCACGGTTCAAGGCCTGGTAGTTTCGACAATTCAAAGTTCATGCAACCCATGCCAGTGCTTTCCTTTTTGACTGACTCTCATGCGCTTGCGATATCCACCTACAACAAGCAAGCCATCGACTCCCCCACGTCGCACATCAAGAAACTACGAAAAGCCCTTGATCTATTACAGCTTCTCCTATCATTCAAATACTAACCCAAAAACGTCACGAGTCGTCCGTCCTTCTATTTGATCGTCGAAAGTCTTCTTGCTCTAGCGGGTCAAGACCCGCACTCCCGATTCTTGGTAACGGCTCCTTTCCTACCCTTGGACCCTTTCTCAGACATCCCATTACATCTCTCTACCTGATCAACTTCTTGATCTTTCAATTCGCTACTTCACTCATTTCCAATCTCACGGAGGACATCCAAAACATATCGTTATCATCTCGATCGTTACCTACTACCATCGACAGCTACATTACATGAATGCTCCGATTAAAGTAAGAAAGCTCTCGTAGAGCCATATACGCGGCAGCATTGGTAAGTGAAATCTCCTGACATTCACTATGGTCGACATCTGATGCTCGAACGTGACGAAAGTGGTTGCTAACATAGCCAATTTTATTTAGTATTCACTGTCGGTCATCTAATACGAACATTTATTATTCAAATACATATATACATTACTACAACACATACCTCAAACTAGATCTACAAACATGACAGTCGCGTACGATTTAACCCACCGAGGGTCTTCGACCCCTCAAGCTTCACAAGGACAAGCGTTGGAAGACAGGTTCGAAGTATTGAAAGATATTGGGGATGGAAGCTTTGGTAGTGTTGTTCTAGCTCGAGTACGCGGGGCAGGAGCCAGTGTAGCTCGACGTGGGACAATCGTAAGTTTAGACAGAGTCGACTGAGGAATTGTCAAAGCTGATGAAATGATTATAGATTGCTATCAAGACGATGAAGAAGACTTTTGAATCATTTCAACCATGTCTAGAACTACGAGAAGTCGTATTTCTAAAGACATTACCACCTCATCCACACCTCGTCCCAGCATTAGATATATTCCTCGATCCTTTTACGAAGAAGTTACATATTGCCATGGAGTACATGGATGGAAACTTGTATCAATTGATGAAGGCTCGTGACCACAAGTGCCTGGATGTTTCTAGTGTCAAGAGTATCCTCTTCCAAATCATGCAAGGACTCGAGCACATTCACGCTCACCAGTTCTTTCATCGCGACATCAAACCAGAAAATATTCTCGTTTCCACATCAGCACAGGATTCAGGGAACTCGTTCCGACGATACTCTGCTATGGTTACTCCTCCTTCTACACCGCCAGCTTACACAGTCAAGATTGCCGACTTTGGTCTTGCACGAGAAACTCATTCGAAGTTACCTTATACAACCTATGTATCAACAAGATGGTACAGAGCGCCAGAAGTATTATTAAGAGCAGGGGAGTACTCAGCTCCAGTGGATATTTGGGCAATTGGTGCTATGGCAGTGGAAATTGCAACTCTGAAACCTTTATTCCCTGGAGGTAACGAAGTCGATCAGGTCTGGAGAGTGTGTGAAATCATGGGCAGTCCAGGTAACTGGTACAACAAGGCTGGCGAGAGAGTTGGTGGAGGTGATTGGAGAGAAGGTACGAGACTGGCCGGCAAACTTGGGTTCTCATTCCCAAAAATGGCGCCACATTCCATGGACACGATTCTTCAGACGCCTCAATGGCCAGCATCATTGGCAAAATTCGTCACGTGGTGTTTGATGTGGGATCCTAAAAGTCGCCCAACATCAACTCAGGCTATGGCTCACGAATTCTTTACCGATGCTACGGATCCATTAAGGCCCAAGTCATCATCCAGGATACTGGGTCGCAAACATTCCGATCTAAGCTATCGTAGCTCAAAGGAATTCTCTGACGCCACACCAGCTGCAACAGCAAAACCTTCCTGGTTTAGGAAATCCCTTATCGGTAGAAACGATAATTCTAACACTGCAGCAATTCCAACAAAGGAGAAAGAGAACGTGGCATCTAAACCTTCACCGGTGCTTACAGCTACAATTAGTGAAATCCCCGTCGCTAAGACACGTCAGCCTGCGGCAAAGCGGTCAACATGGGCTTCCGGAGCTACTAATGCAGCGCCAATGCCGATTTTACCGACAATTAAACCAATCTCGCCAATCTCTGATACTGCAACAGCACAAGCAAACAGCAGAACATCATCGTACAATGATCTCTATTCTGGACAAAATGATAAAGGTTCGAAGAAAATTGGTCGTCAATTATCAGTTGCCTCGAGCACGAATCATTATGCAGAAATTCATCGACAGCAAGCTGAAATGGCATTGAATGGAAACTCAGGTCTAGTATCTCCTCCAAGTGGCCACAAGGAAAGTTTCTTTTCTCATTTAAGGAAACGTGCGAGAAGGTTCTCTGGTCGACAATCTACAACTCCTATGTCACCGAAATCAATGGACCTTGAAGCACAGGCTGGATGCGGACCTTGGTCGAGCAATAGATCATCGATGGTATTGGATAGCAATCAGCCTGCGAGTCCTGCTCCGCAAAAAGTCGATTCTTCTGAGGCATTAGACAAGGCATTGCGTAACGTACAGCAAAATTTGGATTCACCACAAAGTACCAATTGCCCTCCTATACCACCAAGTCATCAAATCAATCCAAGTAGTGTTTTAAAGAGACATCACTCTGTGCCTCATCAACAAGCACCGCGTTCGACTGCCGATATTCCAAGATCTGTTGCACCCATACCTACTAGGAACAGGAGGAGCCAAATACCAGGGGTTCAACAATACGAGACTCCTGATGAGGAAGACGAATTGCTTGACGAAGCTTCAATTTCCACGAAAACAGTGAAACGCGGAAATTCAGTGCAGACCGATCATCGACAACCATTAAGACAATCACATAGTAATACTGGTTTAAATCCATACCCTACGCCCTCCCCGTCCGCTAATGGTAATTCGGTACTCTTTGGCCAAGGTTTAAACAATGCTTCACCAACTCCAAAAAATCATGGATCTAGCAAGCAATCCTCAACACCACCATATGATTATGAGGAAAACGAGTGGGCAGCATCTGCTGCTGCTAGTATATTCGCGGCACAAAATCGATTCTAGACGATCCTCTATCGTCAATTTGTAAAATACTTGGAGGAAAAGTTTCGGGGTATCTACATTGCATGGTGTTTGGGGGATATATGGCGGGGTCAGTTTTTTTGTTCAAACGTTCTTTGTGACATCAGTTTACTATACACCAGCACAGCTGGGTCTAGCGAGTTCATCTGCGGCGTTTAATGTTGATATCGAAACCTTCTTTTGATTTTATTTTCCAGCTTCATACCCCTGAGCATAGTCGCGCCTATAGAAGCGCTTCTTAGTGTTCATCATTTTTTCTCGTCTTCTAAATACCCCTTCATAGACTGCACTAAATTCTATTTTCCGAAGATTCAATGGGAAAAAAATTGCTTCACAGCACTCAAACAATATCTCATTTGTCATCAAATTTTTCTATGGATGTGGCCTGTAGCAAATTCAATTGAATGCCAGGACCGAATTATATACATGTTATTATTTTCCTATTTTTCAGGGTCAACGTTGATTTTCAGGCGAGCCACGTGGCGGCAGTTAATTGGGGGAAGTGAATCTGTTTATTCTACATTGGTCGCACATTACTGTACAACTCACATGTTTTCAAGACCAGCTTCACCAAAAAAATACGGGCACGGAATACGGGGAAAGGGATCTGGGATTTGCGGCTCTGGCGGGACGGGCAGAGGAAGGGGTTTCTAAGGGTATGCATATTTGTGGCGGGGATGGTACATCTACTTAATTATAACAGTTTCCTTGTTCCTTTTGTCTTTCTTTTGTCGTACATATCTGGTTAGGGCTATCCTGGGACGGAACATTTAGAGATTTGCTGCAGGAAGGGATTTTCTGGGGAAGATCCTCGTTCCTGGATATCAGGAGGGAAGGTCCTAGGAAGAATTGGCTGTGCTTTCATGCATGGATGGAGGATTTGGAAAGAAAGGACGTCATCGCTCTTATGCTGTGTTGGCTAGTGAGGTTGGAAGCTACCTCGTCTGAGACTGCTGGGCGGTATTTCATTGTCATGGAAGATGGAGGAAATGGCGGAGATTTTAGGGGTAGATAGATATGGGTGAGGTGTGTCGGAAGGTAGATGGATGAGGAAGAGATTTTCGGGATCGTTGGTGAGGGAGGCTGGGGATCCTGTATTTAGATTAGTGGCGAATATTTAGAGGAGGGGAGGGGGTTCAATGGGTTGATGAGCAAGAAGGGAAGGAAAGATAGAGTAGTGTGTAGTCTGGAATTAGAAATTGGGCGTGATAGCGTCGCCTTCTTTTTCCTTTCATCTGATTCTATTGAGTTGTTCACATCTTGTTTGCTTGCTTGCTTGCGCGTGAATTGTATTATTTCATCTATCATCTGTGTGTGAATCAATGACGTGATGTGATGTGATGTCGTATGCATGTGTGTAAAACCAGGCTTCTCAGTTTCACTCTTGGGTCTATCTATGGATGATGGATGGACTGAGATCTGGAGCCTGGATGATGAACTAGATGATGAACTGACTCATCGTATTAGTATTGGGGTGGAATTATGAGTAGTATAGTAAAGTATAGTATAGTGCAGTATAGTATAGTATAGTATAGCGTGGTGTGGTGTGGTATGGCATGATCGCCAAAGTGGAGTGAATGAGGCGACGGGGCGACGGATAGCGTGGAAGGGGATTCCGGGATGGATGGATGGGGAGGGAAGAGGGGAGGAAAAGATTTGTTTGCCCCTCGGGATCATGTAGGTGAATGGAGGTGAGGATGTAGGGGAAGGGGATGGGAAGAGCTTGGGTGGATGGTGATGTGGATCTTGGTGAGGATCCTGGATCGATCTTGCATTGGGTTTCTGGTTTCTGGTTTCTTGCATTGCCTTGAGATTGGGTGTGGATGTAGATATGGAGTGTGGATGTGTGGATGGATGTGTGGATGGACTATGGGTTTGTAGGTATGGGTATGCTGTACCATGGGATATACCTATAGGATAGGTTTCAGGGTATATAGCTATAGTATAGGATAGGATGGATAGGATAGGTTCTAGGATGGATGTGGAATGTGGAATTTGTAGAGATCTTCAGGGTCGATGATGGATGGATATCGTACATGCGTGTATATGTATGTACCTTACCTTACTTTGGGAACTGGCGAGTTGGGAGTCTGGGACGCTGGGGAAGGTGTGTTTGTATTTTTCTTGGGTAGGTGGTTGTGTATGTATGTTCTGGTTCTAGAGTGTAGATGACTAGATGTGTAGTTTGATTCTGATTCTAGTTTAGTGCATCTTTAGGGTTGTTCTTGAATTTTGTGGTATAAATTCAATACAGTATAGTAAAATAGAGTATTGTAAAGCATATAACCCTCACCTCGGCCCTAAACTCTAAACCCTGAACTCTAATAAATTCTTCTTATTCTCTAGACCCTTAGATACTTACTTTACAGAGTACACACATAGTCTGTAAATACAGTACGTACATACCCAGGTATCTATTACCATACGATTTAATCTGTAGAAATCTATGTAATATAATACCCATCGCTTCCACAATCTTTCATCCCATCATAGCATATCGTATCGTAGTACATCGTAAGAGATATACGTCCTACCTAGCTTCTATCCATCGCGGGACATCTTCCATAATCCCTTCCATACATAATCCCTCCCTTGAAGCTTCCTCGTAAATCGTACATCATAAATCCCAACGGCCGGATCATTCCATGAAATAAAAACCCCAACCACCTCCTTTTCTCCGTCTACGCGACATGAATATGATATGCCATGACATGATGTGTTATTACAAATCAACTACCTAGGAATTTACTTCCATATTGCTGGTTATGGTTACATACATACAAACACATACATCGTACAGACGCGGCATTGATCTCCGGATCCCAAGTGGATCGAAGCCTCTCGTTCACGATGGAATTTGATGATCCAATTTGCCTATCATTCTTTTCGTCTCGTATCGTATGTTTTGTTGATTTTGTTGGCTTGACAACGTTTGGATGTTGAGTGCGAGGTCGACTGGGGACTGGGATTATTACAGTCAGTACTTATGACTGCAACATTTGGGAAATGTTAAATCAAGCAATGTACTTTGTAAATAACGAAATGGCATGGAATAGAATGGACAGGGATCGGTTTACTCATTTGGGTATACATGCTAGTGGGAATCCTAGTCCTTGTTCTAGAATCTTTCCGAGGGTTTCAAAATGAACGCGAGATGAGTCTCGGAGGGAGGGATGGTTAGAACTTAGTAGGTGGTTAGTAATGAGTTGGTAGGGAGAGAGATAATCATACTAGGTTGATACGAGGATCGGATGAATATCAAACGTTAGAGAGGTATGAAATTGAAATGTATGAAATCATGGATGGGCAGGGGCATGGTCATGGATTGGTTGGCTGGTCCGGCTGGTCCTTGGCTTGGGTATGTATGGGCGTATGGAGGGATTGATTAATCATTTACGATAGATAGATATAGTGGAGTTCAATGGAGTGCTACGACGACGTACTGTATGGAAAACGGCAAGTAAGCAACTAAGTACCGACAGGAAAAGAGGAAATTGCCGTTGGGAAGTTGGGAGTTGTCACGAGTGGAGGTAAGCTTACATTACTTGCTTTCTTACCGGCGCCGGGGAATGAAGAAGATGATGTTTGAGGCGTTTATATGATGAGTCGTTTTGGTTTTGGGTTTGGCTCTGGTTTCGATTCTTGATTTTTTGATATTCATGGTTTGAGATCGTGAGGGCTGGGAGGTTGGGACTGGATTGGAATCAATTAGAATTGATTGATGAGTTGGTTGGTTGGTGGCTGCGAGGATTATCTCTTGGGTCTTGAGTACCGAAGTAGGTATGTGTCGGGAAACCCGTGTTTGTGATGAGTTTGTGATTCATGATTGAGACTTCTTGGGGGAGGAGGTTCCGGGGAAGACGGAGGGGAAAGAGGAGGTTGGATCAATGGAAGTGGAAATGGAGAAACTTGTTCTTGGGATCTGGATTGGATTTGCGATTTTTTTTCTTTTCATCCTCTTTATTTTTTCTGTCTTTTCTGAATCTTTTTCCGTAGATTATTACTATAAATTCAGATCCTGTTTATCTTTTGATTCCTTATGTTTTCCCAAAGGGGAATAAATATGATATTACCAGCCTTCGAATTGGGAGTTCCAGGCTATACTTCGTAGGCTCAGCCTAAGCGGCTAGTCTTACTATCTAGCTGACGCCGGCTCAAGACCGGTGACTAGTATAGTTTCCGTGCCGGCTGCTACCTAAGTAGGTAAAATGGGCAATTTAAACTTTTCAATAAAGGTTAATGTTTGGGGGTGTTAATTGTTTAGGGAATTAGTATATATGCTAGAGCCTAGAGGTGTATAATTGTGGTGTGGTCAGACACTAAAGTTTTTAATTCGCTACGAGACATATTTGATGGATGGATGGATGGATGCGCAAAGGTCTAAAAAGTGCGAATCTGTTGCTCTGGACTTTGGAGGGGGGGATTGGAAAGGATGGGCGGTTGGGAATGATGGATTGTAAATCGTGGGCTGTGAATCGTGAATCATGACGATGCATGAGCTGAGCTGAGCTCAACTGAACTGAACTGGGACGGAACGCTTCTTTCGGGATTTTTCTGATTGAGGTTGGAATAAACTCCTGAGGCAATGGTATGTATGTTATGGCACCGCAGTTGATTGACTTCGGGAGTCTTGAAGAGGACGAGAGATTGGAATTTGATAGCAGAAGTGGGCATATGTCTGTATGGTTTTGATGGCGAATTGACCCTTTTCCCGCGCAAGTGCGTGTGTCTACATGTCGAGAAAAAGATATCTATCTACGACGAAGATTCATAAATCTTTACTCGAATCAAATCTCCTAGTGAAAATAAACCATCACATCCTAGATCGATATCATGAAACAAAAATCTCAATCACAAAATCTTACGACCAACAACGCATTGAAAAGGTGTATCCACCGCAACCCCATTCGCGCTTTCTCTCTCCAAGGCCTCTACAAATTTCATTCTCATTTCCCTTCCCTCCGTATTATAAACATCGATCTTCGCCATCACATCTGCCGTGGCAGCCATAGAACTTTGTGACCAAAGAGGACGGAGATAATTAGGCCATGTATGCTCGGTACGAGATACATCCACGAGTCCTTCAAAAAGAGTTTTCATACCCTAAACCCACCTATCCCAGAGTTAGTATCTTAGAGTTAACTGCGTTTGGGAAATGAATTCTTCTCGCCCGTATTCACTATCTGGCTTCGATTTATGAAACGTATTACAAAGTCTTTCCGACGCAGTCACCGTCACTGTTCCCTCCTGCATCACCACCTCTTCCGCAGCCAGCGGCAGTGGTTCAATCCACTGTAAATAGCCCCCCGGTTCTGCATTCCCACATGTTAGTTCATAAGTCCAAAGTACATAAGATTCCCCAACAAAAATCCAAACACAACCCCAACTTACTCAACAGCGAAAGCAATTTCCGCAGCAAAGGTCTCGCATCCGGATCATTCACAACACAGAGCCAAAAGCGCGCATGCACGATATCATACTGTTCGTGAAACTCGCTCGCGTAGTCCTGAAATCCATCGTGAGTGTACAAGTGTACAAGTGTGCATTTTGCGGACGGAAACCCGGCGCGGAGAATGCGCGGCGGAGATGTCGAAGACGTCGATTTGGACGGTGGGGGCAAGGTTGCGGGATACGTCGCAGGCTCATATTCTGGAATTGGGGAAGGGGTTAATATTTACGTGGGGATTGGATGGGGAGAGTTGTTCTGCATGGTGTGGTGATTGATTTGAATGATTTGATTACTTACCCAGTTCCAGTGCCTACATCTGCAATTCGCAGATTGGGCTGATGCGTGAGAATACTAGGATGGATGAGATATCCGGCAACTTCTTTAATCAAAAAGTGATTGTAGTTCAAGCCACAGTAGGTGTGGATTAGTGCCATGGTACTGAGTGTCTCTTAATATGACCTACCGCATGTGAGATTTGTAGTCGCGTTGGATTATGTATTCATGATCATTGTTTGGTTCTTGTTTATCCTGTGGTGGTTCTGCTTTGGATGCCATTTTATGTCGATGTGTAGGTACTCAAGGAGACTATTGAGAAAGAAGAAGAAGAAGAAGAAGAAGAAGAAGAGAGAGGGGTGTAATGAGGAGCATTTCACAGGGACACTCTGTTGTACCTAAGTAAAGTACATACAAAAGGCTGCTACAATAAAGTAAAATCCTCTGCGGCGTAGTAATATCACACATGTAACTAGATAAACATGCGAATTGCAACAGTTGGACTTCGTCTCCCCCTTCTCTCGCATCTTTCTACGTCAGATACAACACTTTCGTAATTCTCATGACCCAGCAATCTGATGTGATGTCGCGCCTCCCGATTGCTATAATACATGCCGTGTCTTGTCGGTTTTAGTTGCTCTTTCGGATATGTTGAAGCACCGACGGTTCATGATATTGCCGTCAACTTGCTCGCAGCTAGAATGAAAAGTGTGCTTGTCAACAATGTAGCAGTGTACTAACCTCTTTTAGAGCCAGCTATGGCATTAGATGCTCGAATTCATCCAAATATTCGCAGCTTGATACATACTAGCGAAAGCAACTTCTTCTCAAGGAGTAGATAACATCAAAAGGCCTAGCAGTAAGTTATACATGCCCCCCTTATCACTAGTTCTATAAATCGCTTTGGGTCACTACACATCAATTTACGAGATAAATTTGACCTTTTGGTATTGCTTCACTTGCGTACAATTGATTTTCCTAAGAAAAGATTTCGTAACGCTACTACAATAAATGCAATTCCTAAACAACCCATCAAGATCTGTGCATCGATTTAAATCTATGGACTTCCTGCTGTAGCTCGTGTGACCATTGTTCATTTCCGAGCTCTACCAAGTTGAGGGTATCCCTTAGCTTCATCAAACTGTCGGGCGTACTCTCTGGTAAGGTTACCAGGAATCCATCATCATTGCAGCGCATATAGGAGTCAATCTCTGGAATGTAGAGATTTGATTCATCCTGAGGTTCATCAGGCTAGCAATGTAAAGCATTGACTACCTCGACCTTCTTCCAGTATTCGATAGCATCTTTGTTTCCTTCTTCCTCTACTTCTCTGCGATATGAGTCAAAGTGTCTGTCGAAAAGATATCGCGCTTTCAGTATTATCTCCAACACTCGATAGCTATCATCTGCCTCTTGAGACGGGACTTGACGCTCGTCTTTATTCCTGAGGTCTAGCTTGAGCAAGTCTTTATCTATGTTAAGAAGCCGAGTAGCAGGGGGAAGTTTCCAGCTGTGATTATACGAACCAATAACACTGAGTCTCTTGAGACATGGGCATCACGAATAGACATCGTTCAACAGCCTGGTCATTTTGTCACTAATACAAGGTGCCCTAACTGATTAATATCCAAATTTGCTCACGGCAATATGGGTAAGCTTCTCGAGATTGAGTGATCCGTTATGACCATACAAACAGCTTAGTAAATCATAATTCACCACAAGAATATCTTCAGTAGGTCGCATATAAGTATAGTTGAGAACCTTATCGCCCCAGTTCTTGTAGCCGAAATAGTGATCCGTACCAAGATGCTGCTTGTTGGCCGTGTGCGGGCGACTACCCAGAGGCTCAAGCTTGGCCTTAGTAAACCCATCTCCAGAATAGACTGAGGCATTTGATATTGTGCATGTTTCAAGTAAAGATAACAGGCCCGACGCCCTGGTTCTACCCGAGCTCGCATAGACCCAGGTAATTCCTTCTTCATGCTTCGAAAATATGATTTCAAGTCTGAGATAGACAATGCGCGGGTCAGGAAGTGCGAGTTTGAAGATCTTAATCTGTATCTCTCGAGGGAATTCGCCGAATCTATGGAGTGTTTTGGTGTTTCCAGTGATAGACTGATATTTTCTTATCGGGAGAGGTGGAGTCGTGTTAACTGAGCCATGTTAGTGATAATATATGATAAGGAAGACAGTCTTAAGCTTTACCTTGAATCTTCTTGTCAGCAGTATCAACACCCTTGAGAAACTCCATGCCATTGTGTTGTGAGGCAGTTGTGTTGGCTGACATGGTGTTGGATTCTTCACAGTTTTTCTTTTGTGGAACAAAATGGGGTATCCGGCCTGGGGGAGCACCAGAATGCGATGAGTAGTTGTATTTGGCCCTGACCGAGAAACAAATGGTTTGTGAGAAGAAAGCTTTGTCTGGAGAGTAGGAGACCAATGTTGGTAGCCACTGATGTGGCCGAGTATGAAGTGGATGGTCGATTTATAAGTTAGTGTAGTGACTGTATTCGCTCTTCGGATTCTGAAGAGACAGAGTACCCCGCAATGCTGATAACAAGTTACCTAGCATGCCTTTTATGCTCGGATTCACTTGCCTCCCTTGAAATCATTTGAAAAATTCAATTTTAGATTGGACGATTTGCCCCGGCCCGATGAAAGCATGATTTTGTGACCATAATTTGTTGGACTCAATGAGTCAACTCTATAGAAGAATAACTTCTGACAATTTATCTTCGAATTGATTCGCTCGCATCCCATCTCCATCACACTGTGAAGTCTGACAATTCAGCTTTATAAATCCATATCTTTGGTAATACCCCTGGGGTTGATCACCCATCTCTTGTACCAGTAATCCAAAATGCGTGTGAGATTGCCGTCCTCCGAGAAGTAGTACCTGGACAGTGACCCCTTTGAGCAATGTATCATGACTAGCATTATGTAGTATGTTGGTGGCCGTCGAATGATTTGATCCAAGCTGATTATCAAGCCATACCCAAAAGTAATGATCTAATTGTTCCCTACCATCGCAATTAATACTAACGTTCCCTGAAGGAGGGAATGATTTCCAAGGTTCATAAACCAGGTCGACTTGGATTACTGGAGCTTTGATGTGAAGCTTCGACTCGATGACGTCGGTCAAGTTGGTGTTTCCTGGAGACGAAGGGAACGTATGTGGATGAACATCATGAATATGTGAGTGCGAGTCACCTGTAGGGATATCTGAAAACTGAACCGGTCCATTTGAGGCCCAGCACCAAGTAGGAAAACGTTCGTCCCTAGGTTCTACAGATACATCCGGCAATGTATCGTAAGGACCTCTAGGGGAGTAGTTCCATGCAAGCCCTTGAGCAAGATATGGCCGGAACACGCCATTAAAATATTCAACCTGAAGTCGCTCTATTATGAGACAAGCAATACCATGAATGGCGTATATCCGATCTTTGGAAAAGGTTAAGCCTTTCTCGATAGCAAACGAAGTAAGCGATGCCAGCCATCGTGGGTTAAGAGTTTGTCGTTAGGCATGGCTAGAATATCTCGAGGAGTAGCAGTAGCGGCATAATCATACGTCTCCCACTTCTTGGGACTTCCTTCTAGAAAGTAGGAAGATTGGCATTCGCAGTATAGCCCATTAGAAGTCCAATGAAGTACACGTGGTGGAAGCGAAAGTTCCTGTAAGCACCACCCGCGTTTTGATAGTGGCGATTCATCAATAACATTCCTCAATGTCGCGACGTTCTCTTTTGACTGCAGTGTTATAGATTGCCGATCTGGACCAACAATACCTGCGTAGGTTAGAAAAATGGATTGGATTGGGTATCGCCCAAGCAGCCTTTCTCTCAAAAATCCTTCCGCTGCATCATTAGCAACTGACGCAGCTATACAGCACTGAGCGTTGGTGTAGTAATCTCGCATTCTACTCGCCTCCGTTTGGAATTCGCTATAGTTATCGTTCTCTGAGGATTGGATAATGCAAATTGCATCGACCCATAGATAACGGATGTTCATCATTCTAGTCAAAATTATTGCATCTTGTATGGTCTTAGGAAGGTAAGCAATATCTAAGCTGCGTAGACGATCCTCAAGATTCCCTGTTGTCGTTTTTGCAACGTCGTTTCCTCTACCCCAGCAATAACTGAGAATCAAGTATGAATATTTGGAGGGTTCCATGGAATCCATTGTTGTGATGAGCCGAACGCTTTCGTTATTCATAGTTCCCACATCAATGAGGCGAGTTGGCAAGATATTCGTATCAATTGTACGGCCACAATTCTCATGATTTTCTCGGCGATTATAACAGGCTTCAATCCAAGGCTGAATTTGCGTCTTGACCAAATCTTCGAGATCCTCCAAGGCTTCTCCTTGGGAAAATTCTGGAAGAAAAAAGTATATCAGTATGGTTTGTGGCAAGCTCAATGAGAGCAAATACAAATGACATACGTTTGATATGTCGAGATTCCGGTTTCTCTAGAATTTTCTCTTCGGCAGTGTTGGGCTCGAGGAACCACATATGAAGACAATCATGACCGACTGCCTCTCCTACATCTACTAATATGCCCACACGTTTGCCATATAGCACGCGGATATAGAAATGCAACGGAGTCTTGCCAGATGGTAGTGTGGTTCGTCGATCCACAAGCATCGAGATTATACGCAACCAGAAGTATTGACAAACGATACAACCCGCATCAGCTGAGCTTTGGAGAGAGTCGAAGATTCTGTGATGAGGAAACGGACTACTCTGAGTTTCATAGCGTATGTCTCGTGGCCATGGAATAACCTTGCAGTGTTTGCACAATTGCGGGGAAGGATGAAAAAATGAGGGTTGATCTGACATATTGTACAGCGACGATATCTCGATGAGTTGAAGTTTATCGTTTTATGGGTATGCCTGAATAGCCATACAAGTTGTATAGAAAACCCGCTCCAGCAGGCAGAGAAGAAAGGATCTCAGAAACTTAGAGCAGCTTAACTCCGGGCCCCTTGATATAGAGACATCCCCAGTGAAGGATGAAGAAGAATGTCCGAAGAGAAAACCAGTATCCTCTCATGAGGCTTTGTTCTCGCTTCAAAGTTTCTTAGGCAAGAGACAGCCGATATGTATACTCCCAAGTTAGAAGCTTGAATCAGCACCTAATCACTACTCTATGATATCGTTTGTAATCTTGGATACACAGCGGAAAAAGACGCACCAATGTTTTTTGGATTGATCGACCGTTGGCTCACTTGTTTATTACACCTCTATCGGCCGCATCTATGACGGATCACTAGAATTGAAGTAGGCTTGACGATAGTTTTGCAATCATGAATAAGTTGGTACCCAAAAAGTAAGTAATCCTTTCTTTGCCTGAAACTATCCAGAGACGAAGTGATCAAATTTTATTGAGCTTTAACACGTGTTTCTTAGTCGGTCCACCTTCCTATTCAAGAGGCCGTGCTATTGGGGGCAGCGAAAATATCAAGCTCTTAATTGTGCTGATCGCATTCTTTGAGGGAACACATTTTGAAGGGGAATGGAATCAGACATCAAGAGGAATCAGAAGAGAGAATTATTTTCCAACCATCGCATCTATTCTCCGGAGCGACAGGCACACTGGCTGTTCTGGTGGTTGATTCCCGTGTCACTCGGTCAGCATTGTTCCTGAGGTCGTGATTGCCATGAAAGGGCAGGGGCTCCTTTTTGTTATAAAGATATTTTGTGCTCAATATGAAAATCATTTATTCGGCGCATTTTGCGATGACCTGTGAGTACTTGCAAGTGTCTGTCTGCACTTTGCAGGATACATTGTGTGTGGGAGATTCATCACAAAGCTATTTTGCGTCCGGGGTTTATCCGGAGAGCTACCATCATTACCTATGTACGCACCGGGAAATCGTGATGGATTCAGATGTAATATATGCCATGCACCTTTTTCGCGTTGGTGATATGTGATGAGATACTGCAAGGAAACCTTAAAAGGATTCAGTAAATTGATTGATAATCACTATAAAAATCTAGATGCTCTTGATATCGCTAATGTATATGGATACACGCAACGCAAATGATCATGGTATCATTCTAAAAGATGGTCTCGATTTACCTTCATTCAATCCGCATATCCTGTTCTTCCGTCTTCTCACATAGCCAATCCTCTACTGTGAGCCACAAACTGATTGTTGACATCTGCTCCTCTTCAATGAAATTCGACTTCCACTCTTCCATACCTATAGCCATCCACTTTCAATTCAAACGCCAACCCGGCGCTTTCTACCACCATCTCTAGAGTAAAATCTAGATTAAGAAATTCCACTCCCCTCGTAGTCGTTAATCTCGTATACAAACTCTTTGGCACGGCTCCCAGATCTGTGGTGAGCGTGCACACGCTTATTAGGTCTCTCGTGAAGGACGCTGGAGGTTCGCCATCCGAATCGCAAGCAATAAGATCGTCAGTCACGATCAATGATTGCCCTGGGCGGAAATTGCGCGTATAGTGGAAAGAGATGGGAGTGTCTGTGTTGAGAGTATCACCCTGGATGAGATTAGTGGTGCTGTCGAGGCAAAAGGGGGAGGGGAGAGTAAAATTTACCTTGTTTAGATGCCATTGCATCCTATCGCTGACCATCCAACGTTCCCATAATGGACTCCAATATCTCTCGCTAACGTTATGCTTATCCTCATCATACACCGTTGCATAAGAAGTCCCATAGTGCATCCGCGCTTTTCTGGAAACCACCACACTTCCTTCCAGTCCTTTGAGAACCGCTCCTCGGACTACTGCAGTCCATGCATTGATAGGCTGCATAACCTCTACAGAATTGCTTTGTGCTAATGCTATAGATTGTGCGTGAGTAGGTCGTTCACTGTAAGGTGGTGGCGCTGCACTGTTGAAATGCGATTTTAATCTTTTGTATAAATGGTTGCTTTGTCCAAATCCTCCTACAAGTATGATACCTGAGACGATACCCCCTTTTTGTCTAATACCATCAACTTGACCTTGAACTAGATCACACACCTCTTTGACGACTGGCTCGAAAATATCTTTGACTTGAGCAGTTGTCATAATAAAAAACCCACCATCTAGACCCGCATCTATATCATCTGCTAGGCCAGGAAGAGGAATATTGAACTCTGTATCGTTTTCTTCGTCGAAATCTCGCTTGACATATTCTTCCCAGTATTTCAGTCCCATTTGCCATGACTTGGCTTTCTTCATTTTCATCTCTTCAAATCGTGCAACTCCTATCCGACTCTTGCAATGCTCTTCAAATCGATAATTGAGGAACGCGCTCCCGCAAAGCCCTCCGGTACCTACAGCAGACTCTTCTACTTGCAGTGGTTTAAGAGATATGATTTTGTAAGCGATGAGATCAACAGTACCACCTCCGGCATCACATACTACAAAGTTATCACCGGCTTGTAGATGATTTGGCTGGATGGCTTTCAGAGTATAGACAGCAGCGGCTTCAGGCTCACTGATCATCTGAATTGCTGACTTATCACCCATTCCCGCTCTCTCTGCAGCTTGAAGCGTGGTATTCTTCGCCGCATCAGACCAAACTGCTGGACAGGTAAGAACAAATTCGACTTTTGTGGTTGACATGAATAATTCTCCATATCGGCGGGTTAAGGTTTCCATGGTATGCTTATAGATTTGAGTCAAGTAATCACTGACAGCATCGACAACATTTTTGCTATGCTCTTTCAGCTGGTTGGCAGTCTCAGCTGGACTAACATAGAAAGGTAATTTTTGAGATCGGTCGAGAAAAAGTTTGATACATCGCAGTCGAGGTTCCTCGGGACGAAATTGACAGCCCCATTTTATCGTTGGTTCAGTTCCAACTGGTGATCCTGGAGGTTTGGAGTATCCAATTTCTGTTGGCACTTTATCAGATGTAATTCCATTACTTCCGGGCCAAGTTTTGATGATATCTACATCGTCTGGGTTCGATGTGTACACAACAGCAACACTGGTTCAATGTTAGCATTTGTGTAGGAATTTGAGTAAATTATGGTGCAAAGGATTGTTTGAGGTGCTGATATGAATGAAATTACTTGAAAAAGCGTCATAAAATCAAGATCCCTAAGATTTATACATATACAGAAATTGTAGTGTCGAATTTGACAAGTACTCGAGTACAAACAGCCGACACAGGTGAATGGCGTAATTATCCAGAAACATAAGATCCCGTTTTGGTGGTGCCACAAATGTCTTGGCAAAACAAGCTGTAAAAATAAACGTACCCAGAATATGTTGTCCCGAAATCCAGTCCAACAATCAATCTTTCATTAACGGGTGCTGGTTCTCGTATTGGTCCAGCAATTGCCTCGGTTGAAGAGGTGGGAGTATAGTTGCCAGAAATATAGTGATTTCGACTTTCATCGTTTCTTCGACTAGCAGTCCGTATAGGTAGGTTGAGATTCATAGTGACCATTTAAGATGATTTCAAATGTTTTGACTTGGAGGATGTACTATCCACGACGGGTTTCTACCCGCGGTCGTGTTTGTATCGAGACTAGGAGGAAAGTCGCTTGATGCCCCTCAATTGAGCCCCGCCGAATCCCAAACCAAGCTCTTTGAGCAAACAATCAACAAATAGAGGGGAATCAGATGTTTTGTTCTGTTATCTTGCTCAGATCTTAATCAGAAAAATCTGAGCCAGCTATTCGGGAGGTAATGTGAGATCGCAAGACTTTGAAGCGTTTAATGATATTCCGGTGTGAAGCGCAAACGTGGGGGAATCAAATACAAAAAACAATTGCAGATTTTCTAGAACGATAAAAATGATTTTCTGGCTATATCTTTTTGGACTTCAGAAGATATACACAAGAATTGAATGGGTACAACGATGGCTGATCAGGAACAATATTGGTCGCTTGGTCAGGACAGGAGTAATTAAGACTCCGCCATAGGCAGCAGTAAAATGGAATTTGGAAGCCTGAAGTAATACTGACGAATACCTCGGGAATAGATTTCCTATTGAATAGGATAGGATCGTCGGATGCAAGACAGACGGTTGACTATATTGAAATTATTGGTTATAATTATCTTGACGAGAACCTTGAATATATATGTGAAGTTGTAATCAAGAGAAAGCGATGTTTATTTTGAGGCGATGGGTGGAGTTGGTCGTGCAGCATAGGTAATGTTAAGGTTATGGAATATGGAATGATTCAGGACATCCTCAACATCCCACCTACAAATTAGCCGCACTCACCAGTGTTAGTTACATTAGCGAACCTTTTACGGACATACTCGCGTACTCAACCCCCTTCAGGCCATCGCAAGAGAATCAGATCAACTCTGATCTTGGTAGGGCTGAATAGTTTCAACGCTGCATCTTTGTGTAATACGTGATCTAAGAATGGAGTTATGGGCATGTGGATTCAATGCTTGGAATCAACTGCAATTCGAAGGAGATCTTCCTGATGAGCCTGAAGATGTCCTTACTTTCAAACGAGTATTAAGAGCAGAGGGAAGTATTAAGATTCTTGAAACTTCTTTTTCTGCTTGTTTAGGTATGTTGATGTTACTTTAATGGCCTTTTTGAGAGAGAGATCGAGGATTTCTTTGGTAATGTCACGTGTGTATCACATGATCGTGCATCTTGATATCATCAATGAGAATAAGATGGCTCCAGCGAGTGACAAGTCTGTTTAGAGACGTATGTTAGAGTTCTAGTTAAAGTTCACTGAGAGTCAAAGATCAGCTACAACTTCAGAAGCCTACTCGGAAGTGGACGAAATCTTCAGATGTTATAAATATGCGTTTGTCAGGGTTTGAAGCCAGCTCTCATCTTATTCTCCAATCAGTCAAATAAGTCACGAGAAGAATGTAGATTTTATACCTAGTATAAATTTTTACACAACAATGCATTGTCTCATCAAGTATGACACTAATAGACTTTCAACTGCAGCAGTAGTATCGAACGGTCCCTCGGGTCTCCATGAAGAGATAAAAGTTGCCGGTTCTCCAGATGGATTTTTACAAGCACAATTAGAACAGGACACTGCAATGAATAGCACGCAATCCTCAGAAGAACAAACAGACTTTGGAAGACCTGAAGATGTTGCAAATAAGGCAGCCGCAGCTGGAAACGACAAGATTGCAGGTAACTTCAAATTTCCTATTCTCACCCATCAACAATCTACTGACCCCTTCAGCTTTCACATCAACAAACCTAACCCAATACCCCTCTCTTGCCTCATACCTCTCTCAAGCCACTCCAGACTTCACATTTCCCCTCCCCCACGTCATGCAACTCGTCTCCAACACCACTACCTTCACGGCCCTCACCCAAGAAGGAAACGTCTACACCTGGGGCGACGAACGCTACCCCTCCTATCTCGGCCGTGAGCCCACCTCTTCAAATCCAGCATCTCAACCCACCCTCCTCACCTCTCTTGTCTCTCTTCCTACTGGACAAATCCACAAATTGTCTTCTTCCGGCCCCCTAACCGCCGCTCTTACCACCGGTCATGATCTTTACATTTGGGGTCGCACCAATACCTCCTCTATAATTCCCGAACTAAAAGACTCCTCGGACGATTACGATCCCATTCCACTCGATATCCACGGAGCCGACATCCTCGATTTCAGCATTGGCGAGAACCACATGTTGGTGCTGACGACGGATGGAGAATTGTATGTCATTGGGGAGAATGGGAATGGACAACTTGGATTCGGAGAGGGGGAGAAAGAGAGATGCGAGGAGTGGAGGTTAGTTGACCTAGGGTTTGAGAGAGAGAGCACGAAGAAATGTGTAGGAGTGCGGGCAGGGTACAAGTGTAGCTTTGCACTCGTGGAGGACCTCTCTTCATGAAACTAGTTTGTGGATATTTCATCTAGTGCTTTATCGAAGCTTTTGGAAAGGGATAAATGGAATGACAATTCGAAGAGACCTCACAATGAATTGAAGAGCAAGAATGGATAGAAGTAAATCAGTATGGTATCTCTTTGCTCATTTTGCCTTCTTATGCCATTCTATAATACATCATGACCTTGGGACTACTTAAAGCTCATTGCTATTGCAGAATAAAAGAAAAGCAGCTCATAGATTCGTAAGGTAATCCTCAATTTCTTGAGGGCTCAGTTTTCTAAAACGTGGGCCTTGAGCACCTTCGACTCCCTCAATGCCCATTAAATGATCGGCTGGTGGTCCTACAATACCTAGGAAGATGTTAGCCAAGTGAAATATCCATCGAGGTTCTTAATCTTACCGATCTCCACTGTATCGCCATTCATCTCTCCTTCAATGGTCTCCTTCAACGTCAACAAAGCAATGTGTACAGCGTCTTCCAACTCCAATCCCTCGGTGTATCTCTTCTCCAAGAAAGTCTTTGCTGAAGTAGCATTCTTTCCAATGGCAGTCGCTTTCCATGGGAAGTAACTACCACTAGGATCAACTTGGTATAACATAGGTCCACCCTTCAAGATACCACCAGTCTTGCCCGATGGTTTCTTCTCATCCGGATGCACTTCGGCGCCAGCAACATCCTCCGATTCTGGCTCAATTCCATCATCCCAACCTGCGATCAACAAACTAACACCATATGGTCGTACACCTCCCGATTGCGTAGCTTCTTGCATCACCCGTGCAACGTCTTGTACTAATATACGGGTGGGTGGGTATTCGTTATAAATGCGCTTGTAGCCGGTGTGGGATACTTTGCGAGCCTTATCGACAAGTACGCGGTAGTCAGGTCCCATGCCGGAGTAGACCATGCCAATGTTTGGAGTGATAAGAGAGACTTTTGAGAGGGAGGGGGGATCGATGAGGGTTGACGAGGACTTCTTCTCCGTGGCGAGGACAATGCCGTTGGTAGCTGACGATAAGTTAGCACGAATACGTATGTTTAGTGATGATATATGTGTACCTTTAATTCCTAACGAGGTAACACCTTGGTTGACGGCATTTAATGCATATTCTGTTTGCGATTTGATTAGTATATAGAGCTGATGGGATATATCAACAAGTAAAGTTATAGCTTGGCGCATATTTGATATAAGCTTCATTTAATGGTACGAACCTATTTGAACCAATTTCCCACTTCAAAACGTTAGCAAAGTCCTTCGGCATGTATTATATATCACCTAGTAGAATCTCTGGGAGCTTTGGCTGGTTCAATCGTACCTGGGGGAGAAGGTTGTCAAGGAGAAAGAATATCTATCCGCCATTGTTTCTGTTTATTTCAAAACTTGTGCGGGAGAGTTCTGGAGGTTCAAAATTACAGAAATGGTTGACGGAAATGTAAAGTATGGGTTGGGAGTTTAGAGAGTGAAGCTGTATTTGGGGTCGTTGGACTTTAGAGCTACAGGCAGCTCTGGTCCACGACTACGCGATGATAATTGGAGCCTTAGATATCTGGCAGCAAGTCAGCTCAGCGTCAGGCACCAACCAAGTGATGTCCAAGCAAATATTAGAGCTCTTCAGACTTCTTGGTTTTATTCACGAAATACATGTATTTTATATCATTTTTCACGGGTAAATATTCTCCTACAATTTATGGAGCGAGAGCCCAAAGGCAAAGGTATTGTAATGTAAAGATTAATTATGGTGAATTTTTGAATACAATAGATTCAGTGAACAATTTTAGGTAGGTATCTTATGTTTTCAAGATTTTCGGGGATTTTACTAGCGCAACTTTTTAAAGTGCACACACCTCAGAAATCTGATTCAAATCAAATGAAAAAACCAAACATTTTATTTAAAGGTCATCAAGAAGCCACATCTCACCACTGTCGCCGATGTCTCTACATGCTCTCCATCCTTCTTTAATGAAGTTTTCCTTTGATTGATTTTATTAACCATCTGTTTACTGACTTTCTAGTACATCAAACACAGCTCTTATTGAAATTCTCTCTTTGTTCTTTTTTTTTCTTCACGAATAGCCGGAGGTTTCAAACACTTGCAGGAACCATTACTAGCTAGCTAATCATACATCGGAGATCGGAAAGTCAACAAGTAACCTTCTCCGTCATCGCTATAGCTTTGATAGCTTTGATTCTTCATTCGTTTCTTCATACCTACAAATCTCATCAGCACAAAGATGGCAACTCCACAACCTACTTGGTCATGGGATGATCTGTCTGCAGAATACTCCTCGCAATCTTCTCACCAAAATCAGAACGACGCATTCACAGCGGACGAGCATACAGACCAGGAATTTCCTGTACCTGAACCAGAGCCGGAACCAACACGTCGAAGATATTACCCATCCCGACTATGTCGAATATGCCTGGAAACCGTAGAGCCGACCTTCGAAACTCCTACCGAAGGCATAGCTTCAATGCTCAATCCAACACCCCGAGTGACATATAAATCGGAAGATCCTGAATTGGGCCGTTTGATGCGACCATGCAAGTGCAAGGGAAGTCAAAGATATGTTCATGAAGGCTGTTTGACAGCATGGAGATATACAAACCCCGGATCAAAAAACTATTATGAATGTCCTACGTGCCACTTTAGATATCACTTTCACAGAATGAAGTGGGGCCATTGGATTAGTAGTGCTCTGACACAATTATGTCTTACTTTGGCAATATTATTTGTTACGATTTTCGCCATGGGCTTCGTCGCCGATCCGATCATTAACTTTTATCTGGACCCGTATGATACTGTTTTTTCATTCCCTTCAATGGGAGGAAATGGTCCAGCTCTACATATCGTGGATACGGAAGCAAATACTTGGGCCGAGCATCTGTTAAAAGGGCTGGCGTCTTTGGGAATGCTCGGATTTGTTAAGATATTCTTTGCAATGTCCCCGTTGAGTTGGTGGAATGTAAGACAGACTGGCCTGTTCGGCGGCGGCCGCGCTCGAGCTGGAACAGGTCGGAATCGTCTAGAGAACATCAGTTGGACTCTTGTCATTATTGGTATTGGTGCCTTCTTAGTTGTGAGTCACTACCCACCCTATGATTACGGACATCTGCTTACAGCCTTCAGACAGTTTGGAAATGGACCAGAAGTTGGAGTAAATCAGTACTCGAAAAAGCCGGCGAGACCGTGATCGATGTTGGAGGCGACGATGCTGATGAAGACGATGAACAGACACAAGCAGAGGTTAATGAGCAGGTGAATTCAGAAAATACAAGAGGAGAACGTCCTCCAACACCCGACGATCCCGAAATCAGGAAAACACAGTGAAGATACAAGAGCAGAGTTACAAGCATCCACACATTGCCATAAACTCATCTCATTGTTTGTATGTCATTTTTTGTTGAACCAACGGCCTCCAAATATGTGAGAACCAAATATCCAGGAAGTACCTTTTCCCTCCCTATACACCTATACCTTTCCCGCACCTTCTTAAGTTGCCACGAGATCCTTCACAGTATCGTGTCGATTAGTCTGTGTGCGAAGAATAAGCCAACTCAGCTGGAGCCCAGAAATTCGAACGTCTTGTTCTCCTTTTCATATACCGGCGTACCGCGAGTTTATTTGTCAACACCCCGTATCTTATATACGACCTGACTCTTTTGGGAATGGTTGGATTGGGATGCATCTTTCTAATTCCTTCGCTGCGGCACTGGTTGTGGCATTATGCTAGGATGGGGAATTGGAGGGGATGTTGATACATTGTTTTGTAGCTTTGGATGAATGAGATAGGGAGCTGGGTATGGCTGGGCCGGTTTGATCGGGATTAGCTTGTACCTATTTTTAAATATTAATGGATAATATTCTTGAGATGTTGCCTAGTATGGTGAATCATGTTCAAAGTCAATCCTGTCTCGTCTTATCTGTTTTATGGGATGGCTAATTTTCAATTTCTTCAACCCCGCTCCAAGATTGGTATAATCTCATTTGAAATTGGCCACCCGCCTTATGTTATACTTCAGTTGAAATAGAAGATATATTCCTTACGACTAGAAAGTTTAATTTTGAAAGTGAGCATAACCATCTTGTATGACAAAGCTTCTATTGCTGTATTTTATATGCTGTATTCCATAGTGTAATAAACTATTGTACGAGTCGTACCATGTCATATCATATCACCCTTGTCTAACATCCATTATCTAGGACATTAACTCCCTACGCTTCACAAAAAGCAATATGTACCTCCAATCCTTCTTCAGCTTCAAACTCCAACTCGGTACCTACTCCCACAAAGAATACATATCCTTCCTTCACCTCGAACTTCTCTCCTCCCGTTTTCATAGTTCCTTTACCGCCGGTGACAACCATGATGCTGGGCCCACCTAGCTTCTCAATTGTCTCTTTTTCTCCTTTCTGGAGCTCTAAAACTAACATATCGAATTCGCTCATTGGTGGTGCTAGGACCTTGGTCTTGCCGTTCTTACCCTTAGAGCTTGATGTAGGCTTGAGTATACATTCATCTTTTCCGACGGGAGAAAATGTCAGCGCGGCGCTGAATAAATCGACAGAGTCGCGGTCGGCACGGGGGCAGAACCCAGTATTTAGAACATTATCGGAGCGCGCCATGCATTCTACGATATCACCGGAGAGGTAGGCGTGGATACCGTCTGCGGGTACGTAGATGGCGTCGCCTTTTTGGAGAATGAGATAGTTCATCGTGAGAAGGGCGACGAGGTTGCCGGGGTCCGAGGCGGAGTATTGATCGGCGAGGCGGGGTAACAGGGCGGGAATGTATGGTGAGGTAGGGAATTCTGAGGATGGGGTATCTTTGAGGGCGTTGTAGATGGATTTTATTTCGTCATCGGAGAGAAAGAGGATCTTGTGGACGATTGATTTCAACGTGTCTTTGTCGATGGTGTCGGATGAGGAAGAAAGAAATTTGGAGGTGAGAACTGGGATGCTGGTGAAGAGCGACTGGATATCAGAAAGAGGTTTCCATCCCACGAAAACCTCGAATTTTCCAAGGGCAACGGCGATTTCGGGTTTGTGATTTGTGTCGCCAAACTTCTTGGGATCTTGTTCATGAAGCTTGGCCGCAAGCTTCTTGTCAGGATGAATTTGAAGAGGTAAGGCTTTAGCTATCGAAAGGATCTGGAGGGATGAGGTTAGTATGAACATTTATATGTGAGTATGGTATAGAGAGAGGGGAAAATACCTTTGGTAAATATGGTAGATCTGCTCCAAATTTATCGAGTATTGGTTTCCCAATCAGCTTCTCCTTGTTGGCATTGAGATGCTCTTGTAAGTCTTTGCCGTTTGACAAGATGAGAGATGGTGTAGTCGGATAGGTTCCCATCCACATCTCTGCGTATTCTTTACTCTCATCAAGCTTGAATTTGCCTCCTGGAGTAGAAGCTGCATACTTTGCTGCTAAAGACTCTTTACCTTGACGACCCCATGGATAGTTGTTGCATTGGCACTCCAATTGAATAACTGATGAAGATTCTGACATCATGAAGAGTTTTGTCTGAATCAAGGCGTATATTTTCTGTTTTGATACACAATTTCTGGAATATGCGGAATGTGAAGCAAAAGAATAAACAATGGTAATAATGAGATTGAAATGTAGGAAAATTGATACCTACCAAGCTTTTAAAACGATTCCATACTCTATCTGGCGTCCCGGAGGTATGTCCTATACACTTACATAGATAATGACGTTGAATTTTGAGCTTTGTAAGTTGACATGTTGTTACATCATAATATTTATTTTCTGTGGATGAAGAGGGTTCTGTATGTCCGGCGGACACGGATCGAAGAATCAATCAGATTATCATCGCTTGTCTTCTAGACCCCCACGGTGCCACTCTGACATTTTAGTGTGCATGTTCGAGGCATCGCTGCATGGTACAAAAAGCTTGGGATTGACAGCACAGGGCATACCGAGCTCTATTAATAAAATTAATAAGAAGCTTAAAGAGCCTTATTTTTGAAGAAATGGCTGGGTGCAAATGTGCAATCTTCTGATGAGGTGAATAGACGGGCCAAAGGAGATGTCGAATCGAAAAGTATTAGCTATCCAGTATGTAGATGATTGCTTTGATGAGTATTGCGATCTCCTTCAGAGCTTCTCGGAGAGATTGAAATAGATATGTCGAAGTAGTTTGATGTTGATGGTACATTGGGTTTACCCCTAATCTTTACCTAGAACGTCTCGTTAGATGTAGACATCCGGAAACGTTCACGGGATATTTGAGGTAGATAATATACTTTTCATCCCTTGGGTGGTTTGTAGAACAAAGAGGAGGAAAGAGATGGAGGAAATATAAATGATTCTATATATTTAATCTTATTTTCTACTCCATTCTCTGTTATATCCAGCAAAATTAGGATTCACAAGGGTTGAAAATTCGAAGTTTGATTACATCTCATCTGAGAGAGAGGAGGGAGAAGTTCAAAATTAATCATTTTCTTGATAACTTCCACCCAACTTCAAGCCAAGAACAAATTTCCCTAAAATAACCTAATCTAATTTTCTTCCTACTTTCACAAGGACGGCAACAACGCTTTCTTTACTTCTCCTCTCATCGTCCCATGAAGTTGACCTTGAAGCATTCTCTTTTGTGATTGATATGCTACCTAGGTATTTTATTTCTTCGTAATAACCTTAAGGTTAATCTCGATTCCCCAAAGGACCCTGCTACCATCAACCTGGTATCTCCACTCATCGCGCCAAGTGTTCACCATAACGGTGAAATACTAAAGGACACAGCGCAACAATTTCAGCATCCTGTGCATCGCGATCAACTGCTATAAAAAAAAGTCCCGTACGACGTTGGGGCTACAATTATTGCCAAAAGCTGTAACGATTGTAGCAGGTGCCTAAGGGGTCCAGAACATACGACACAATGCATTTGGCATACCCCTCGAGGAAAGCCTCGAACCCTCCAGCATATTTCGCGCCACGATCCTCACGTTTCCCAATGCTACGCAGAAGTAGGGCGAAGACGATAGTTCTAGGTGCCTGTGCCATAGGGGTGGTATTCTTCATACTTTCACGTATCCTTGGGGGAGCAAATGGTGTACCATCGGGAACTCCACCAGTTGTAATTGTCACAGTGTTGGATACGGTGGGATATAGTAAAGAGTATCAGGACAGCGTAAAGGAGAATCGCATTCAATATGCCAGGAAACATGGTAAGCAGATGCTTTGCGAATGGCTACAACTTGCTGTTCTGGTTGTCAAGCAAGAATTGAATTGACAATTGTTAGGATATGCAACGTTTTTCCCCAGTATTGGAGACTATGATATTCAAGGATCTCCGAATTCATGGTCCAAGGTTCCCGCAGCACGACACGCCTTATCAAAATTTCCACATAGCGAATACATTTGGGTTTTGGAGCAGAATGCTCTCATCATGAACCCTGCGCTGAAAGTCGAAGATCACATTATGGCTCCGAAGCGCTTGGAAAGTTTGATGATCAAAGATCAATCTATTGTGCCTCCGGACAGTGTTATCAAGACTTTTCCCAATTTGAAAGGCGAGAACGTTGATTTGGTTCTCACCCAGGATAAAGACGGTCTGTCACAGGCTAGTTTTATTATCAGAAAGGGGGAATGGAGCAAATTCTTCCTCGATACATGGTTTGACCCTCTGTATCGTTCTTACAACTTTCAGAAAGCAGATCTTCATGCGTTGGTAAGTGGGCCCATGTTTTTTTTGGCAAGTTTAAATTCTTACAATAATCAGGAACATATCGTACAATGGCATCCAACGATCTTGTCGAAGTTGGCACTCGTACCACAGAAAGTAATGAATGCATACAATTCGGATGAGGCGGAAGGGTATAAAGATGGAGACTTTGTTGTTCGATTACCTGGTTGCGACCAGTCAGGACGAGACTGTGGAAAGGAGGCCGAAAAATACACAAGGCAATGGCGGACTGTCTTCGCATCACGATGATCCAACCCTTTACTACGATAATCCAATCCAATCCTCATCATCAACATATAAGCATAGTTAGGGCTATAGAAGCCCTTATGATCTACGAATAGCGGGCAAGGCGTTTGCAGGCGTACAACACAAGAGCATGAAGATAAATGTTTGCATAATTGTACAATACCGGCGATGACGTCTGTAGGAATGTGGACATTGTTGATGCTGGCAGATATAGTTTTTTGGGGAAGCAAGACTTTGTCTTCTGTATATTATTTGAAGCATACATACCCCAGCAGTCAATGTACTGCATTTTCAACACTTGCGAAGCTCTTCGATACAGGTTTGTGTTCTATGATTATTTCAATCTATGATGCAGGAGGTCATTAAAGT